GGGGGGGGGGGGGGGGGGGGGGGGGGAGGGGTAAGAACGCGGCAAGAACGACGTTCGAGGATCGAAGACGGAGTCGTTTCCGTGGGAGACGTGGTCCTTCCGCGTCGGAATCCCTCCCGTCTCGCCCGTCACGAGCGTTCTCTTCCTCCCTTCCAGTGGATTCGTTCGTGGTGTACGCGGGGGAGCGGACGGACGTGGTGGTGAAGGCCGATCGGGAGCCCGGTACGTACTGGATCCGGATCCGAGGCCACATCGACTGCGGAGTGAATTTCACCCGAGCGTCCCAAGTCGCACTCCTCGTCTACGAAGGAGCGGAGTCCCTCTCCTCTCCCTTTCCGTCCTCGCCGGTCGGCTTCCGATACTTCCCTCTGCCCAATCGGGTCGGTGTCTCTTCTCTCTTCCCTCCTCGGTTCCCTTCCCGCACGCACTCGCGTCGACGTCGCACGTCCTCGTCCGTAGACCTACAACGGAGTGAACGAGGGCCCGGGGAAGGTGGAGGAAGGAAGATGGACGGCGAGCGAAACGACGTGGATCGGTAACGACGGGGACCTGGATCCGGCCTGGAGGAAACCGGATCCCGATCGCTTCTTCCTCCTCACTTTCGACTTCTACCCCGTCCCCCATTCCTCCTTCTACCATCAGGAACACTACCCCGTCTTTACAGGTCGGTTCTCGTTTTCCACCGCCGCGAAGAGATGGGCACGCGAACGCTCTCGTCGATCTCCGCCGAATCCGCGACGGCGGGAGAAACGAACCGGAGACGATCCGAGAAACGCGCTCGGAACTCGGCGAGCGAGAGGACGATCGCGGTTCGCAGACGTCCGGATGTTCTCCGGACGGGCCACTGCGACGGATGCCATCGCCCCGGAGCACGTCTCCGCTTCGTCTCGAAGACCGAGTCTTTGACGTCGCTGCGGGCCGGCGATGCATCTCTCGCACGCACCCTCCGCGCATCGTATCGGTGACGGTATTCGACGTCGGCATCGTCGTTCGAGGAGCGCTTCCGCATCGAAGGGGAAGTTTCCTCGATACCGTCCCGCAGATCGGGCGACCGCGAAACGAGAACGACGAAGCCGTTCGACCCGAGGGAAGCGTCGCGTCGGGCCGGAGATTTTAAGCCACCCGTCGGAAGATGGAAAACGTCGGGTCGAACGGGTGAGACGAGATCTCCTTTAAGCCGCGGATCCAGCGATTCCTCCCTCACCGGCGTGAAACGACGTCCTCGGGGCGCAATTCGTTCGCGGAGGACCCACGCGAATTCTTCGATCGTGCGGACACGAGATCGAAAGAAGAACGTCAGCGTTGGAATTCCTTGACGCATCGGGACGGAAGTCCGAGGGCATCGTTGGTGTCGGTTTCGTACCGAGTCGCACCAGATCGAAGGGGGACAAATTAGGAATTCTTAAAGAGACCTTTCCGATCGTCTCGTCGCCAAATACTTTTATTAAATGAATTTTTTAAATGTATAGAATTTTTTAAGTTAAAGTTTTAAAACACGTGAAGAGTCGCAAAAGTTGAGGGGTGGATTGCATAAAACTCACTTAAGCCTAATGCCAAATTCAAACATTAATGCCAGCTAATGAAGCTGGCATTAATGCCTAATGCCAGCTTCAAACCTCCATTAGGGGTGGATTTAAAGCTACTTTAGCAGAGATTTTTAATATGGATTGCATTTAAACAATTTTAGCTTAACGCAGCATCGAATTCCGCATTAGTTTAAAGCTACGATGACCCTACTTTAAACCCCCATTAGCACCGAGAAGGAACGTGACGCCGGCTCGAGACGCTTTCTTACTGCTTCGCGGATCTCCACGGACGGTGCTTTTCATTTTTCTTTTTTTTTTCCTGAATGTTTCCGTTGCTGTAAAAAGCAGAGCGAACGAGCAACGAATTCGGTCGACGGTCGCCCGAACTCGGTCGAAGCAAAACGCGAGTTTCCCACGGCCGAGTTCACGGTCGCGAGAGCCCTCCGCCGGGAACGCGCGCGGAAGCCGAACCCCTCGGAGCGGTAACCCCCCCCGAACAGGTGTCGTTCGAGTACCGGCTCTTACCTCGGGGCATCCTCCGTTCGGTGGACTTATTGGACCCGATCGAGAGCGTCGAACGAAGAGGAACCACACGATACCGCTGCATCTGCTGCGCTCTTCGGTTCCACGGGTGCGGGTCCTTTCGATTCCTGGTCTCCGACGCACTCGATATCGACATCTCCACAGCGCGTCGCATCGTTCGACGAGTGTCACGGGCCCGAACGCGCCGCGTCTGCACGTTAACGTTTCTACTTCTAATACGGGTCTCTTCGTGAACTGCCCCGAGTCTGCGATGAATTTCATTGCCGTTCGCGCCATCTCCGACCGAACAACTGATCGCAAAACGCAACTCTTCCTTGGTGCAATCGAGCCCCTTAGCTGGCATTTTTCGTAACCGTAGGAGGCACACGAGACGGCAGCAAAGCCCAAAACCACCGCTTTCACGGCGCTCGTATTCTAACGAGCGCGTGCGAAGTACGTTGCTAGTTATATTTCCTGCGTTAGATCGCAGATGTCCTACTACTTTTTGACTCACCCTCGTACTTTTGCGAGCATCGAATAGAAAAACAAATCCAATTTTCGAACGTCGTCGAAGCGTCATCGCGTGTCCCTGATATACATAATCGGAGTCGCTAATGCACATCAGGAATCGCGAAAGTCAGTTAACTAATGGAGCTTTAAATTTTTGAATGCAATGCCTCGCTTTAAACCTCCTTTAGTTGATGCAACTTTAGACTAATGCTGACATGATTTTATGCAATCTACACGAGACGTTTTAGCTCGAATCGTTCCTGCTCGAACTCGTAGAGTCGAAACGTATCATATTCTTGCACGACCACGTACAGTACGTATGCTCGTTGTATGTGGTTTCGCGGCGAAGGAAACGGAATGGGAAGGAAACGAAAGTAGGTGGCTGGATGGAAACGCCAGAGAGGGAAACAGGAAATCGTTTAGAAAAGCCATAAAATCCAGGTTTTCGGCTCAAGCTCGACGCTTTCGCGAAAGCCGCGAGGTCGAGCGAGCGAGATGAACCTCGTTTGCTTTCAATGCAGGGATCATGGATGCCGGAGGAAGGAACATGACGGTGTCTCTGCAGTCCAGGACCGAGTCGTCCCCGTCCCGTCCGCATTCCGCACCCGCGTGCGGGAAACGTAAACGTCGCGACGACGATCCCGTCGTCCGCCCGTTTCGACGCGTCGTCGCGAGATCCGAACGCACCTTCCTTTCGCATCGTCCTTCCCTTTGCATCCTCGTCCGAGGATGCGGAAGGAAGGACTCGGTCTCGGATTCCTCGTTCCGAGGCGGCGTGCGACGAAAAGCATCTTCACCTCGCGCCGTTCGGTTTCTCCGATCCGAGTCTTTCGACTCCGCCTTCCTCGACGCCGACACTGAACTCGGATAGAAACCACGTCGGAGCGACGTCGGGAAAGTTTCGCCTTCTCAGACGGTAAGGAAACGCGGTCGTCGCGTCAGAATGCGTGGTTTTCGAAGAGGGAGATCTCTCGGGAAACGGTCGTTTCTCGCTGCAACGCATTTTCGGGCGGATGAAACGCTCTCCGTCCGTTTCCGCTCCTCGAGGTCTCGTGACGTCGACTTCGGCAGACCTGCAAAAGCGACTAAGTTCCCTCCGTTCCCAACCGGAAAAACGAGTTTCTGCAAGGATGCGTGAGATCGCGACGCGATTTCTTCGCGAGAAATCACACCGGGTGGTGGAAGGTTTCGAGATTTTCTTGCGGAACGACAGGGACTCGGGCCCGCTCCCGGCGTCGCCCACCAGATTGCAAAAGAGCGCGCAACACTCCCGTTCGTTTTTCCGATTGATCAACTTATACGTGCAGGATACTGGCTGATGCACTGTCACCTGGACTATCACATGGAGTTGGGGATGGGGCTGGTATGGGAGGTGGGGGATCCGGCGACTTTCCCCCATTCTCCTCGGGACTTCCCTCAATGCGGCGACTACCTCCCTTCCCCGAGCACGGAAAATGGCACCACCACCACCACGACCGAGACGGCAACCACCGAAGACGAAGAGGAGGACGGGCTCCTCACGGCCGGCGGGGGAGTCGCTCCCACCTTCCACCTTCTCGTCTCCGTCTCGTTCGTCGCCTCGCGTTCCTTCTCGTGACGGATGGGAAACCAATAAAAAAAAACGATAGATTCGGGACTTTTGCATATTTATTCCAACTCGTTTTAAGTTTCTCTCATATCTCGACAAATCGAAGCACGAAGCAGTGCGAGACGCGTTCAGTCTTCCTTGTATTCGAAGGGTTCCGGAGGAGGGGGTTCTTCTCCCTCGGCTTCCACCTGAGGGCCGTGCGCGGTGACGGGTTGAACGAGATCCTCCGGTTCCGAGGGTTTCTTGTCCCACAGGAGGATCACTCCGCCGACGGTGAGATCCTTCACGGGTTCCCACCGCTTCGCGCTTTCCTCCGACAATCCCACGTGATTCAATTGCGGCTTCAGCACCCGAGCCGGGTTCTCCAGCATCCCCCAACATGCCTCGAGCTCTTCCTTTTCCTTCTCTTTCTCTTTCTCTTTCTCTTCCTTTTCCTTCTCCTTCTCTTTCTCCTTTTCCTTTTCCTTCTCCTTGTCGGATGGGGGAAGGGTGTCCACTTGCATGGGTTCGGACCCCTTCAGCCTTCGCTTCTGCTTGGCGGTGATGCTCAATACGGCTGTCGTCACCTGAAACGCAAACCTCCTCTTTCATTCACCGAAGCGAAGAAAAACAATCAAACTCGTATTCGAAATCGAGAAGAAACAAGGAACTGATGAGTGGCATAAATGCACACGAGACCCGATTTGAAGTCGAACCGACGAAACGATTGCAACGAACATAAACGAGTAGGAGAATTTTTTCCGGACTCGTACGATGCGATCTCGCGTCGATGCGGATGCATATGGAAGGAAAACGAGTCCTCGTCGCGTCGGACTCGGAGAGAGAGAGAGCGTAGAGCGGGCGGAGACGCACCTTTTCCCGTTCCTCCTTCTTCTTCTCCTGGAGCGGCGGGGGATATGCGAAGAGCGACGGCTTCACGTTGCTCTTGATGCCGACCTTGGGCATCTTGAGGTCCTTGTTGAGGAGGATCAAACAGGTCGGCGTGAAGGCGAGCGACAGGAAGTGGGCGAGCGGGAACCAGTACCAGAACTGCGTGAAGACGAGCATCCCGACCACGGAGAGCATGGACGTGTGACCGGTCCTGGACTGCAGAGACACCGTCATGTTCCTTCCTCCGGCATCCATGATCCCTGCATTGAAAGCAAACGAGGTTCATCTCGCTCGCTCGACCTCGCGGCTTTCGCGAAAGCGTCGAGCCGAGAACATCGACGCGAGGAAGCCTCGTAACGGACGAGTCGCGAAAACGCACTCCCGTTCGTGAGGGTGCATCCGTTGGCACGGATTTCGTCTGGGTGACGGAGAGAAAGAAAAAATTATTTCGCGGATACGAGGATCACCCTGCATGCCCCCCGACGACTTCGGATGCAGGCGACCCACACGTGGTCCCCGTTCTCCCCATCGGTGAAGGATATTACCTTTTCGATCCTCTACCTGATCTCATCTTTAGAATAGCAGGAACTGCTCGGAAGGGTCGTCGACGTCGCGGATAGCCGTTAACTTTTCTCATAAAATTAAGAACAGATGGTGGAGGGAGGGGGTGGGACGGCCGCACGGTCCCGAGGAAACTCTCGGGAGAGTTGACCAACCTTGAGCGAGGATGGCTCCGAACTTGGCCATCACGTCCTCGTGCTTGTCTCCGATGACCTTGGTGTAGAGATTGCGGAAGTCCTTGACCTTGGGGCAGAGCGGCTCGGTCTGTTGGACGAGCACGAGCGCGGACGCGACGAGGGCCCCCTGCCGCACGTAGTTGACCGGATCGTTGCAGAGGGGCTCCAGGAGGGAGACGGCCGACGACAGTCCCGTCCCGGCGCAGGCGATTCCGAGGGCCAGGGCGGCTCCGTATCTCACGTGGGGGTTGTAGCTCTCCGCCAGGAGAGAGACGACGCTCGGAACTTGCTCCGGGGTGCGGAAGAGGATGAAGCCCAGCGCCTCCACGGCTGCACGTCGCACGTCCTCGTTCACGTCCGACACCTTGGGAACCACGATACCGTTTCATTCCGAGTGGCTGCACCGTACTCCATAGAGCATGGTTAATTAATCATTTATTGGAAAACGTGATTAATGATTAAATTTTCTATTTAATCAATGATTAACTGATTAATATGATTAAAAATTAAATTCTTCTGAAATAGGTAAAAAGGTCAATGAAACGCAAAACAAAATGTGCCGTACTTCGCGCTCCATACCTCTGCAAAAGCTCCTCCTCCCTCATGTGCCATTCCAACAATTAAAAACTAAATGAAGCCACCAAATTTTGAGAGCCTAGGCCCTAGATCACAAGTATAAGAATTTTGCGCACCTGAGGCCTAAGTTCCTCTACTTAGGCTAGGCCTATCCATCTATATCCTACTAACCTATACCAGTAAGTAACCAATGAGATTATAACACGGCGCTTGATTAATTTCATGCAATATAGTTCAAAAGAGTACAGATAAATATATTTCACAGAAATCACACGAGAAACCTTGGACACGCCCACCCACTTATCTGCAGCTTGCGAGTTGCGACCACCGACTGCAAACAATATTTGAGCGGGAAATTCAAAACAAGCTTATATTGAAATGCGAAGTATGGGTGGGGGAACTGTCCTGGAAAATTCACATTAAATAATTGGTACAAATTCAAATGCCGCATTACAAAATTGATGATAAAATGATGCTGTAATTAATCATTTTTCATCATTTTCTAAAAAATATTTTGATTAATGATTAAATTCGAAAAAAAAGATTAACTGATTGATTAATCAGAACCATGCCCTAGTACTCCATCGGTGGCACGGAGCCACCGCAGTGCACAGCCACAAACGGTTGGAGATGGCGAGGGGGGGGGGGGGGGGGGGGGAAAGGACTGTAAAATTCCATCTTCCGTATTTTATAAAAAGGGAAAGGTTACATTTGGCAAAGGCCCTCAATCGACACGGAGTGACGAAATACCGATGAAATTATGTGAGGAACTTGCAATTAACCATCCCCTATCTTTCGTCTGCTATGAGGTGGGCTGGCCATGCTCTGTTGGGAGCAACTGTAAATTTTTGTAAGACCTACTCCTAACCAGCGACGCGGTAGAAAAGATGTCCTTATTCGGCAAGTAGACTCTGGTCACCGACTAGGGGGGGGGAGAGGTTTTTCTGGATGCCCTCCGTGGGAGAGGCGTAGTCCCAGTAATAGTACCATACTGGACGCCTCGTCCACCTACCTGGTCCAATCACTTTGCGTGGCCAACCCACCTCCAGCCTCGACCACGCAATGGCCGTGTTCCCAATGTCTGTCCTTGCCAGATTGTTCGTGTAAGTCAAATCAATTGTTCCAAATATCCCAAATTGTTGCTGATCGTGTCCCTTTCTCGCGGGTTCTCTACCATGAAATTCTAAGTAAAAACTTCCTAAATAAATCCACTAGGACCTTGTTCTGGTTTGTTTCGAGTCCCAGTCTCTCACAATCTTCTAAAACTCGGTAAAACGTCACAATTCCGAAAAAATTAAAACATCGGATATCCATATTTCGCCGTACTCGTTCGAGCGTTGGCCGAACTGCGACTGCCAGACGGAGGGAGAAACTCACGGCGACGTGCAGGAGCTTCCGGATGGCCTTGTTGTTGCCGGTGCCGGCGTAAGCGACGGCGACGGTGTACATGGCGCTGCGACGCAGGACGGGATCCTTGTCCCTGGACAGCGAAGTGATGAGCGGATCCGCTTCCTCCAGTCGACCGTAGGCGGTGAGCGCGATCCCGACGGCCAGACCCCGGAGGATCTTCTCGTGCTGGGTTTCCTGGGCGTACGCCACCATGTCCTCGATCGCCTGAGGGGACTTGGAACCCAACATCACCAGGCCCATCGCGATGCCCGCCGCCTCTCCCGTCACCGCATCGTCCTAAGGAAGGATCGCGAGGGTGAGAATGCGGTCGTCCATCGAACTCGCACTTCCCCGCCTGGACGAAACGAGTTCGGAACGCTCTCGTCCCGTTCGGAGAGGGGCACCCGAGGCCCGAGACCGAATCGCCTCGTCGTCTTCTCGGAGGCGTCTCTGAAAGAAAATTTTTCACCGACCAAAAGCGGATGCGGACTTCCGACGAGATTCCAGAACGTCAACGGAAAAAGAAACGGTGGAGGAGTTTCGTAGCGAAAGACAGAAAGCTCGGCGGCACTCGACTTTCCTCTTCCATCGCCGATTCTAACCAATAAAAGAGCGAGTCTTTTTCACGCGACGAATCCCGTCCGAAGTAAGCTCTTTCTAGGAACGCAACGAATTGCACCGATCGCCGAGAACATCGCGTCGAGTTTTTTTCCTTGCCGACATCGCCACAGTGGTTCCTCGGAGCGTGACGTTCTGCAAAGCCGGCTAAAAACTCCTTCGCGGGCTAATGACGGAAGCGAGGGCGATCTGCACGCCGAAGTGTCGGCGGATCTCTGCGCTCGAGCGGAAACGATGAAGAGCTGAAGAAAAGCTGGGCCGTGCGAACAGGAAAGACGAATGCGAATCTCCGGCGTGCGATTCATGGCGTTCCGAGGACCCGTCCCGCCTCGAACGACGCCGGCGTCGTTGGTGGTATGCGACGGTGGCCCGTCTCGTCGTTATGACACGGGCTACCATCGCTTCGATGGACTTGCTCGAAACGAGATTCGGCGTCGTTTAGACAAGTTTGCTCTGCGACCAGCGCGAGGACGCGTGACTCCACGGGAGACGGGAATAAAGACGCACGGTCGGAACTCGAAGGTCGTCGTCTCACCGTGCGTTCCGGTCGCGCGCGGGTCGAACGCGAAGCTCGAACGACGTCCGTCCCGGTGATGTCGACCGTCGCGTCGCCCGATTTCCGCCTCGAAACCTGACCGAAGCGAAACTTCAGGAACCGAGGTGAGAAAAATTCCCACGGACGGGGTTGCCGGTGACCCGAGGTCGAACGCGGCTCCCTGTCTTCAGAGCGCGGACTGCATCTTCGGGGCGCGCGCACGATGGGGTGGTCGCACTGCGGTATGCCTTGAGACGTTGCGTCGTGACGTTTTTCGACGAATGCGAGTCGAAGATTTTCTCGATGAGGTGGGGCCCCGTATGGAATCACGCGTTTCGAGTCATCATTCGCTTATTTAGTTCATAACCGAAACGTGACTCACTTGCGAGTGAGGTGAGCGGTTAGAAAAATGTTCACGTACGGTAGGTAGGACGAGAAGTGGGGTGCAGAGAGCGAAATACGAACGGAAGAGCGTTAGTGCAAGCAAAGCGGTGCGATACGAGGGGAGTTCTCGGACTTCGGATCGCCCGCGATTCGGAAGTCTCCGTCGAGAGCGATTGCCCTTGTCCGATCCTTCCTCGCGCGGGCTCTCGGAGCCCGAACGGGAGAGCAAGGCAAGAGATTGAGACCTGATAGAGTTGAAATTTGAGTTGTTCGTAGACGTCGGCTCGCTGAGTCCCCATCGCGGCCAGTCCCAGGCCGAGGCATCCGCCGTGTCGCACCGTCTCGTTGGTAGCTTCCTTCAGCTTCTCGAGGAGATAATCCGTGATGGCGTGGCCGTGGTTGGCATGGATGAGACCGAGGGCGTAGAGTCCTCCTCCCTCCGAGTACCCAGCTCCGGATCCCCCTGAGTCACGAGGCAGATACGCCTGCATGAGGGCGAGGGAATCGCTCTCGTGACCCCGGTGGATGACCCCGAGCGAGGCTGTCGCCGTGAACTTGGCCCAGTTGGTGGCTCGCGCCAGCCAGTCCAGGTTCTCGCGGAGGAAGGCGTCCGACGTGGTGCCGCAGTGCATGAGGGAGTTGGCGATCACGGTGGCCGTATGGCACACGCTCACCCGCACCGTGTCCTTAGTGTTCTTCAGGACGAGGAGATCCGAACGATTGGCGCGGATGAGGAACTGGAGGTGTAACGATATGGGGAGGTCGCCGCCGAGGATCGTTCCCAGTCGCTCCAGTCGCTCCTGCCTCAGCTTGTCCTCCGTTCCCTGGACGACAATTACTTCCTTTCACCTACGTCTCTGCGACCGAATCTCGATCCACCAACGGAAGACACTCACCAGACTCTCCAAGGTCTTGGAGACAGACGACTTCGTTGCCTCTTCTCCGCCTCCTTTCCCCTCCTCTTTCTTCTCCTTCTCGGGCTCTTTCTCTTCCTTCTCCTTCCTTCCTCGCTTCCCCACTGCAAAACGACAGATCGACCTTCGCGAGATATCAGCGGGAGAGGACGGTGGCCATGTCTGCAAGTGGCCTCCGCGACGGGGTCTTAGAGGTTACCGGCACGGACTCATCGCGAGCGACGGAGAGAGAAGAGCTCACCTCGTCCGGGGATGGGTGCCGATGCCTCCAACGCCTGCAGAACTCGAGCCAGAAACTGCTGGGAGGCGCTCTCGTACAGGTCGAAAGCGAGTTGGTAGGCCATGAGTTCTCCGCGGTCATCCCGGTCTCGTACGAGAACGTCCAGGATGTCCCCGACAGCGAGGGGATCGTCGAGGAAGATGAGGCACTGGCTCATGCTGATGTAATCCGGAGCCGGCAATCCGTGGTACAATTTCACCAGGCTCCGGAGGACCTCGCCGCGGAACTGGCGGTTCTGGATGAGGGTCATGGCGACTCGAAAAGCGTACGAGAGCATCCCCTGGGGATCCCCGGAATCCAGGACGACCCGCTCAAAGACGTCCATCCTCTTCGTCTCCAGGGCGATCCCCAACGCCTGCTTGTACTGACCGTGGGCGAAACACCGCTGGAACATGCGATCCACGACCGCCTCCAGTCGAGGATCCACCGGTCGGCCTTCGTTTCTCAGAGACGTGTACGTGTCGATGCACTTGGCCACGATGGTCTCCGCGTATTCCGAGGCGGCGTTGATGTCGAAGTGATCTCCCGCTCCCAAGGCATACGTTAGCGAATCTCCGTAGGATCCCAAGTGATAGTAGACCTTGGAAGCGACCAAGGCTGCCAGGTGGCGGTGACTAAAACTCTTCTCTTCGTACAGCATCTCTCTACACGCGATACGGAGAAAAGGTCAATAACATCGGGTGGTTCAGTCGACGCACTGTTATTCGTATAACGGGTGCCTAAGAGAATAGGGTAACTGTAATCTTTAGGGCTGCAACGAATTTTACCTGCATCAAATATATCCGATACTTACGATATCGGTAGATCTGTCATCAGTATCGGAGTTAATTCTTTTTTTTTTCGTTATTTAATTCTTTTTATTTTTTTCCACGCGATGTAGGGAGCAGGTAAAAGCTACGAGAAAAGAAGATGCGATGAGGATAGGCAGAGCTGGTAGTGATATAGATATAATTCAATTCTAAGCCCAGACGTGTTTGAAGTAGCCTGGACTGTTAGTTAATGAGAAAAATTTAGTTTTAAGGATTTAGAACATCGGATAACGGCATGATTTAATGCCGTTGCAGCCCGTGTAATTTTAATTTATATTGAATACACATTCATTTGATACAAGTGACACGCTGGTACAGTCCATTCCCGGTCAAAATTTTCGAGTATTTCCCCCCAAGTATGCCAGTAAGCTTGACGGATGAGGTCGGGGCAATAAATTCTAGGGCTTTGCTCTTGTTCTGCCCTCACCATACCACTGTATGATTGTAAACATAGATAAGCTTATGGATAGATAATGGCATATTCATACATTGCCTTCGTCTGGCTGCATGGAAACGAGCTTCCTGCAAACACTGCTGATGTTCAAACTCTGACAACCCTGCGGATTCACTCCCTCGCAGATTGCACCTGGACACATCCAGTTAAACACTACATGGCTACTCTCGATACAAGTGTCAGGAGGATTCCATATCCGAGAATTCTGAAAAGGTATGGACTGTACGTTTGATACGCGACGACAACCGGTTTCCACGAGCATTTGCATCCTTCCGGATGGCAGTTGGATTCGTCGCTCCGAGCGTTCAGTAGAAGAGTAGGGTAGTTGAGAACATTTTCGACCCTTGCATAAAGTCCCCCCCCCCCCCCCCCCCACGCTACACAATTCAACGCAATCAGAAATGGAAACAACTTTTTTCAACGGAACTACATCAATGCACAGTAGTACAAAAGTCGGAAATTCTTGGACAAAAGTCATATTCTGAAAATGGAGGAATAAAAAATCAGTTGTCTTTAAAAGTTACGGATTGAAGTCTTTGTCCTGTATCGCTATTTCTTCAGGCCTTCCTTTGGTCCTTTATCAGCCTTCACGTCGTGCAAAGGTCAATGATTCGAACTTTTCTTAAAATATAGGACCATGCCAAATTGTGACAAAAGTTTGTCATGTAATACGACTGTTCTTGTCGCTGTGTTTTCATCAAGTGTGATCTGAAGGTGTACCTAAAGGTGAGTCTTGTTTATTGCATGTATAGTTTTACTCCTGAAGTATATGCATAACTCATGTTATCCTGTGTAGTTGATCGGTGAATTACTTCTGACAAGGTAAATTTATCGAGTGAATTTGAAATACTTCTCAAGATTTCTCAGAACTCCTTACAGGTTAATGAAGAACCAAATCAGCCCTAATCTCCTGCGGAAGTAGTACACCAATCAACTAAACAGGATCTAATAAATAACATGAGTTATGCATATACATTAGGAGTAAAACAATACATACAATAAGCAAGACTCACCTTTAGGTACACTTTCAGATCACACTTGATGAAAACACAGCGACAAGAACAGTTGTATTACATGACAAAATTTTGTCCCAATTTGGCATCGGGTACCTATATTTTAAGAAATTTCGAATCATTGACTTTTGCACCACGTAATGGCTAATAAAGAACCAGAGGAAGGCCTGAAGAAATAGCGATACAGGACAAAGACTTCAATCCGTAACTTTTAAAGACAATGGGTTTTTTCTTCCCCCATTTTCAGAATATGACTTTTGTACCACTGTGCAATGTCCGGTCTAAAAGCTTGAATGGGCAATGTGTGCTTTTTCCTCTCGAATGGCATAAATAACCTTTTCTTTTTCAAAACGTAGTTGAGGGGGTGGATTTCGTACCACCAATCATATGCCACTGAATTCCATCTCCGTCTTTCCTTTCCCCAAAGAGTGCGAGTCTCGGATTCCGACGTCTCACGATCGGGTCACGAAGTTCGGTAGGGGCATACAGGTTTTCGGGTCGATTTCCAAACGATAGGCACGTGCAAGACTCTGACTCACATGCGTTGGATGGACTCTGATATTTCGGGCCAAAATTCGTCGACGATGTCGTTGAGCTTCTGGAGCGCAAAGACTTGCACTTCTGGCATCGGCTCCTCCAGAAGAGCTAAGATCCCACCTGTCGATTCGATAAAGACAATAATCATCATAATTATTATTTGCTTCCTCCGCGGAGAAATCAGTCACGATCACAGCATGTATGACAGTGTCCGCTCGGTGGTATATTCATATTCTCGCACGGGCTGGATAGGTAGAGGTAAGAGAACGCAGATTAGCAGCACAAATGAGGAAGTGTACGAGTGGAACTGTTATCGTTTTGATGCTGAAAGCATCCTAAACAGAAAGGAGTGTGTGAGGAGGGCACTACTAGCTTAAGGAAACGCCATGTGAGTCGGACATAAATATAAAAGTGAGGAGTTGCTCCAATATAGGCCTATAATCAGAATATAGCTCTGAAGGCAATAAAGGCACGTAGCAAGAAATGGGTGAATTTTTTCTGGCGGTTAATTAGACGCTCAGGAAAAGGTCAACACAATCAACACAGAGCACAGACTGCCACAGTTATCCAACTGTGGCAGTTTGTGCTCTGTGTTCATCACGTAGGTGAGTTTTTCTATGAGGAAATGATCCACACTATTGGTATAGTGAGGAGTGGAAGAGCAACATGGATGGCATGCCAGCAGAATTTTAATAGGCAATGCCTAAGAATGTTCTAGCATGTTCTACATACTATGAAAGTTGAACAGTTAGTTAAGTGCTCTAGCCACTGTGTGAAGGGACAAGCTCTCAGGAAGACCAAACTATCATAGGGTAGTGACCCTGCTCAAAGTGTTTAATAAAATGTAGATGGCATTATAGTTTATCCCTAGTTAAAAGATATATTTGCTGCTTTGACAAAAGAATGAGGTTGGAGAAGGGAGCCAACAGAGGAAGGGGGATTGAACAAGGTGCCACAAATGGGAACTAATCAGATGGGGCAAAGAACATGGAATGGAGAGGGTTGTCAAGTGAGTCAAGTCAAGCTCAGGAGACCAGCATTGACATTTTATTGGAAGCACATGTACCTCTTCCTTGTCTAACATGTGGCACAATATTGTTTCCATGCATTTCTGCATACAATACTTCACATACATTCCTCTCTACTTATTTCCTCAATTGTTGCATTACAATACTTCCTTACATTTTATTTATATTGCATGGTCAAACTAAAAATCCATCCTGAATCTGAATGTAATTTTTTGTGTCCAATAGAATACAGTTAAACCCTTAATTGGGCAACAGGAGTTCATTGGACTCCCCAGGGCATATTTCATTGCATTACTCTCTGGCAAGTTCTTTTTCTAGACAGGTATCCATAGATCCAAAAATGAAGTTTTGAAGTTTTGATTTGCTTTTAAGGGAGAAATTCTTAGCATTTCTGCCCTTGCCTCTTTATGTCCCACAAAACCTTGTCCAGATAAGGGTTAAAAGGTGTTCAAACATGGAGAAGACACTTTCCTAGGCATCTGAATTGATGTACAAGGAAATTGCAAGATCTGAATATATGACAACCCTGACCTATCCATGAATGTCTCTTTCCCCACACCTTACATTACTCAAACTTACCAGGTTAACTTATAATAACTGAATGCCCATTTCCCCCTTTCGACTAGTCATGCTGGAGTTGTTATAACATTTTTTGGGAGGGTGGAGGGAAAGGAGGGTGCTGTTGCATAATTTGCAAAACTGGATATATTTTGAAAAATCCTAAGCAATAACCAAGCAGGATCCTGCTAAGAGTATAGAATAGCTGATCAGATATTCATAGAGTATACAACCAACCTGAAGGTACTCATCTTCCAGAAGGGAGAAGTTATAAATTGCCTTTGATGATCTGCAGAAGATATTTGATAGGGTAAAGTGGTCACTCTTCATACAAGTCTTAACTCAGGTTCACCATTTGTAGCAAAATTTAGCCAACAAGAAGTGACAAAACCACAACTTATACATCTCTAGGTCAGGAAAGGATGCCTACTCTCCCAAACATTATACTGTTTATATATGATGTGATGGGTGCATTGTGAGAAGTAGGGCATGAATCGCTAAAGATTCAGAGAAATCTAGGGCCAGTGACACTAGATGCAGATGATTTGGCTGTAGACACTGGTATACTATATGCATTGCCAAAAAGCACCACTAAGACACAGGTACAATTTTAAATGACAAATGGGTCAAATTCAGAGTTGATCCTAAATAGAGCACTCAGGTACAATGAGAAAATCTAATGAATAGATTAGCTGCCACAAGCCTCATGCAGCATCAACAATTGTAAAAGAATAAGCAAAATAACTGGCTTTTGCATCAAGAGAAAGTTTGGAAGGAGATGGGCTTCTCTTAAGTTGGCATCTTGGGAGTCCCTAACAGGTGAATGTAGAAAACAAAAAGGTACAGGGTAAAAAATCAACTGAGACCTACAGAATGATTGGATGAAATTTAGAATTAGTTTAGGATATGAGCTGTTGTGTCAAACTGCTGTTTGGGTCCAGGAGGTGACTCAATTTAAGGGTGGCAAGGGTGCCAATGAGGGGGTAAGGGAGAGTCAATCACCATAAGTTCCTTCATAGAGGAAGTGAAGATAAACAGCATTTGCTATTGTACTAGCACACACACACATGTACACAGAAAGAGCAAAGGTGCTTTAATGGACCTCATGACACTTGCATCTGTAGCCTTTTGCATTGAATGAGGAATTATATGAGGGCTACAATGAAACAGCAATACATTTGGGCCTAACAGTATGGCAAGCCAAACAGGGAAAAAAAAAATCATTTCCACCAATTCCTAGATGGGCTCACTAGGAAATTCATCTTAGAGGGACACCTTGGTCCTACAATAGATGGCAGGCAAGGATAAGTTGGGGCAAGCATTAGGTTCAAAGTCCTCCTTGCTCCTGTGGGGCTGAGATGTCCTCTCTCTACTATTAAGGTTCAATAATAAAAAAACGGAGTAAAAAAATTGCACAATGTGGGCAAAAATTGGCCTTTCGCACATGAATTTGGTACATCCATTTGTGAGGTTTACTTACATGAGTACATAATCACAGAAAGAACCTCTAGAGATTTTTACACTACCTAGGGAAGTATTAGTGCCTTACATAGTAGCAAAAGAATACAGTTGAACTCAGTTATAACGAAACCTCAATTATAACAAATATACCCTAGCTCCAGGTCCCAGCCTTGAGCACATTAGGTATGTGAATTTTCACCTCAGTTATAGCAAGCTAGGTTTTAGTAAGCATCTTGGTTATAAAGAAGTCCATTCAATGTCCCACTGACAAAATTGACAATATTAATGTCCATAATTTGTCTTCCCTTACTGGAATTTTCATCACTGGAAAATGAGCATTGTAAGCCATACCTTCACCTTTCCTGGAATCAGCATTTCTTGAGAGTCATGTGGATGTGACTGGAGGAGGGTGAGGGAGAGATAATCCCCAATAACCAAAGAGATCATACCTTCAGTGCCATTTGCATTTCTCATTAACCACATGGCCAATGAAAAGCTTAAGTGGCAAGCCATCACATATGAAAGAAGTGTACATAATTTGTTTAAAAGAAAGTGGGCAAGGTGAAGCTGATGTCACTTGTGAACTTCTAGGCTTCCTATATCATCTATTCCCACAATTTGAAAAAGTCATGACAGCAAAATCTGTGCCTATGAGAACATGCCACAAAACAGGAAACTGGCAGGAAGCCAGTGCAATATGACAGATATATATTAGAGTAGTATATAACACACATTTTAATTACAGGGAAACTGAATGTCAATAAAGGCAACCTTGGTTATAATTAAGGTGGGTATAAGATTCTTCCCTAGTCCCTTCTATGATGTTATAACCAAGTTTGATTATAGGATCAGTAAACAGAGGGTGACATTGCCTTCATTAAGTGAAGAGAACAATAAACTTTTCTGAAAACTCCCCTCACATAGCCTTTAACAGGAAATCAATGACCAAGATGCATGACTAGCAGTTCGTGTTCTGAGAGTTTCAATGTGTGCATTTTCAATAGCAACCTGGGATGGTTATGTAGTTCTGAATTGTGTCAAAAGAGCACTGCTTTAATTTCATCTGCATTTAGGTTAGGCTTATTGTCCTTCAATGACTGCATACCTCTATGCATGAATGCTTCAACATAGCTGGTATGTAATAGTAGATTAAGAATATGAAGCCAACTATAGATCCATAAGGAACTTGAATCCCATGACTTGGGGAAAAGTTGAATACACATTTAAAACTTATACTTTCAAGCTATCGACACTTTTTCAAGTAAGACTTGAAGAAATCTAGAGATTGGACAGAACATTGACACAACAGAAAGCAGAGATTTCTAACAAAACTCAGTCTATGGGATTTTTTTAAAGGCATATAAAAGTCTACAGAGATGAAATCTGTAATATCATTATTGCCCATTTCACTGAGTACGAAATCAGTCGTTAACACTACTGATAACCGTGAGTAAATTACTCGGCAACATTGAGGCTTTTTTTTAAATCAAACTCTTGCATTTATATCTCATCACCTTAAACGTTATTTAGCTAAAAGAAAATCGACACCATGGTCATAGAAGTAAACCTGTTTCCTAATAAAGGACTAACCGAGATAGTTTACCAACCTAGGCCAACTGAAAAAGAAGAGTAGTTCGTCGTATACCTACCGGCAGATGTTATGAACATTTTGGCTGAACTGCGAGAAGCACCCTGAACTGAGTCTTCTTCACGTTCAAAGGATTGAATAACGTAAGAGGAGTCGGATTCAGGCTAGGGCACTCGGGGAAAAAGGGATGAGACGATTCAATCACTCTTAATTAGAACTCTCTCCAAACTAGTGATGCCAGGAGAAGATCGCAGCGGCCATATTGTACTTCCTCGACGTCTCTCATAGGCCACTGACTCACTACTAATCCTGAAATTACATTCGTCAGCCACAAGAGGGGGGGGGGGGGGGTCGTCCTGCCCGAATGAGAGGTAGCAACAGATCACGAAACCACTCGTCTTCTTCTGACTTTCTGCGCTTACGGATCGAACTCGGGCTTTTTCGAAACGGCTTCGTACCGTTTGCGAAAGACTATGTTTATTCTTGCCATCCCGATCCCCACCGTCGTTTAGTACAGCGGTGTGCAAACTTTTCAGGTCGCGACTCCCTTTTCATCCGTCTATTCGATCGCACCCCCTATTCCTCTCTCCACTGCTTCCGTTTAATCAGAAACTGACTAATTTCGGGTAAGTTGGCATGAGAAAGGAAGCACGAATATATGGCTTTTGTAGTATAAAGTTAACTTTATTAAAATCACTTATATTGAGAATAATGCAATACCACAGAACAGAGGCCAATTCAGGGTTCAGAATTTCCAAGATCTGAAGTGCTTTTCTTTATTTCTTTCCTTTTAATTTAATTTTGAACCCTAAAACTTCTCAATTCCGAGAAAAAGTTTATGTAAAGACCAAAGTTTGCGCCCCCGAGTTTGAGTACCGACGGTTCTGGAGACCCTCCTAAACGAGCTTCACGACTGGAAGGGGGGGGGGGAAGGAGGGAGGTGTAAAAAAAAAAAAAACGGAATGAATTGACATTGAAAAAACGAGATACACTGTTCTCCTTAACTCCGGGGAGTTGGAGATTCAATTTTTCTGGAACAATATTCAGTACTGAGAAGGCAAGAAACATGCCTAATTTCGTTCCTCTAGATCAGGGGTCTCAAACTCGTGGCCCGCAAAAGCTCTCAATGCAGTCCGCGACCCACCTGCGCACACCAAGAGAGAAACGTTTCAGGCCCCAATATACACAATCAGGGAAAACCTTCAGACTTTTTTCACTTTGGCCCGCAGAGAGGTCCGATTTTGACGATGCGGCCCACACACTGAAACGAGTTTGAGACCCCTGCTCTAGATGCTCCTCAGAGGAATGCGAGGTGGATACATTTGGTAACGGGAAGGGGTTGAAGAAAGGTGATAGGTGCCTCAGTGCCTATTGCTGTGCCAATAGCAGGCTGCATCCCGATGGTTCATTTCCATATTAAGGTTTTATAGTCCGCTCATTTGGATTTGTTCCTCTCTTCTCTGGGGACCACCGATTTCAAGGTTGGCACCACTGTATACACTGTAGTGTACCCTTTCCGTCCCAATAAAAGAATACCACTATCATAGAAAGATGTGTCAGTCTTCCTATTATAATTATGGACGTGGCTGGGGGTATCTGGACACCCCTGAAATGGGGCAAGATTTCAGGACACGAGTCATGGAATAAAATGAGATCTCACAGCTCTCAGTTTTTTAAGATTTTTCCCCGTCGAGATTGACAGGGCCTAGAAATATAATCACAAGAGAGGCGGTCGGTCTGACCGGGACATAATTTAATGTGCAGTCATAACAGATACGTGCAGTTCAAAACTGGGCAAGAATTACAATTGAAGCAAAACTTGGGAAAATATATTTAAATTTCTACATTTTTTTTTTAGGTGTTTGGGCATTGAATAAATGAAGTGCCCTTAAAGGGGGGGGGGGGGCACTTAGCGCAGTAACAACCACTCCTTCAGAAGAGTTTAAATCATTTGTGCAGTGGTCTGATTTTTCTTACAATATGTCCTGGGTCTGACCTATTATACCGCAATCTCTGCATACACTGTTTCAAGTACAGGCAGGACACCTTGTGGGAGGAAGGTGAAGTATTAGCAGAACCATCCAACAACCATGTGGAGCATCAGGCTTGACATCTTGAGGATCGTCTGGAAAGCTTGTGTTTTCTCCGTTCTCTACAATACCAATTCAATCCGAAAACAGTGTACACATATTTTCATTCGCTCATTAGTATTCTTTGTTGCTAATAATAAACCAAATAGTTTTGCTATAATTTTTTCCCATGAAATTCTAAATTGCTCGTACTCTTCTAGAATAGCTTTGCGAGCCAAATTCACGTCTTCCAACTTTCTGTAGTTCAGGAGAATTTACTGAACAATAAGCCTTACCGTTAGACTTCACCTTTGGTTCTGGCCTGACCGATGAAAGCACCTAAACCAACATCTTATGAACCTGGTTACGGTGCTATAACCGCCTGAACTAAAACTCGATGCTCAACTTTGTTTTTTGAGGACTTACGTCCACCAATTGGAATTTTTTGCTTGCACCAATCCATCCAATGTGGGAAATCGATCCTCCCGTTATCGCTCAGACACGACGAAGGTAGGAATACAAAAATAAATTGAGAAAGAAAGGAGGGGGAAGGAAGAACTTTCAGAATTTACTTTAGCACTCCCCCCCCACTTATTCTGTCATATGAACCAAAAAAACCAAAGAAACGTTCCATGGAAAATATTCCTGGTGGAATTCCTGCATTTGCTTCTAAGATCTTTGGTAAGATATCAATTGGGATTAACTCTTAAAGTCCCCAGGGGGAAAGATTGAGCATTGAGCATACGGCTATGGCAAGAGGGACACAGGGTTAATGAAATACGGCCTCTCTTTATTGTGAACCCAGAAGAATGAACCAGCAGCAGGCCACATCCAAACAAATAAAAGGCAACATGGTGGAAAAGGAGGAAATCCATAATATAACAATAAAAATATATCCAACTATATCGTCAGCATAATTATAATAATTATATAATGATCATGGTCCCACGAACAATCGGGAAGACTCGGTCAGAGCCTGAGTATTGGAATGCTGTATGCCCAAGTGCATCATCGCATCTCTATCTTACATGCCAACTGCCCTTAGAAAAAAATCCATAAAAAATACAAGGGAAGGATCAAGAGAAAAAAATATGGGAGGATGTCCTTTGACATCATCCTTGGGAATGTGTCAGAATTTGTCATGTGGATTTCAGTGATGGTGATTCTTTTGTCGATTCATGGTGGAGAGCATGAGCGAGATGTAGGAAGTGAGGAGGTCATCCATCTTGTATCCGAGAGGAGTCTCACAGAGAAGCTTGCTCCCTCGCACCAGGTTCCCTATTGTCATGTGAAAGAAGGTGTTCCCACTAGACCAGTTGGAGATACGCGTGAACGGATGCGTCACCAGCAGCTCCTATGTTGCAAAAATGATAGTGTTGAAACGGAGTCAAGATCAAGTACAACAAAGGGAGTGAGGTGGTTTCAGACCTTGGTCTGTGGGTGGATGAGAGAGACTCCGTGCTTGTTGATGGCAACCAGTAGATGTTCGGGGTATGATGGTTCAGTGCTCTGCTTCACCTCGAAGAATGCAGAGCCAAACGTGGGCCAGCGGTAAATGACCTTGAGGAAGTTGATCTTGGCATCTTCACCAGTCATTCCTTGCTCATTTTGCCATGCATTCACCAAATTCTTCTTCCAGTCCCCACTGGATTGAAGCTTTTGCATGTCCCCTGGGATCAGCTCCTTCAATAGCTGCCTGCCATTCCCAGAGACAAACAAATACAATGTTTGTTACACAGGTTGAAAGAACAAATGAAAACAAAGCCTCATGATGGGAGGTTTATTGCAGCAAATGTAGAAGCACACAAATAGTAAAGTGACAATCCTGGCTCAAAAGAAAGGATAATTGAAGATAGCCTCTCCCATTGGATTAGCAACTTTAGATTTACAGTTTCCAAGTCATTCTAGAGTTATAAAGCATTTTGATATTGATGAAGAATACCTTGAGCCACATAGGCATAAAATGACAGGATAAATGAATCTTGGGCAATACTAAGACAAACTGAAAGCAAGCCATGGACATATGTATGTCCAATGATAATATAATGATTTCATCATGATCACCCTACAACACCCACCAGCATGCAATAGCATCAATGGGTAAAGAGATATTGACCATACTCTGAGATTGTATGCATGATAAGCAAAAATAAGCACCCAACTATGGCAAGAAGGAAAGTTCTGTCCCCTTGAGATTTTATATTTGCCAAAATATCTTGTAGCATTTTGGATGGAATGTTAATGAAAAGAGTTAAAGCTCTATCAACCCTTTAATGCATTATTTTTTTCTTTTCCAGTGAAAAAAACTTGGTGGGTTTTACTTAGGTCCTAGAACATGGAAAAAATGGAGAAAAAATTAATTCCTCAAATCTGTAAGTAGAAGGCCAGCAAATTTTATTCTTGCACATCTGCTACAAACATTTCAAGCTTTCTTGTCAATGTTTTCATAGAGGCTAGAGATTCAGTCAACATTCGTACATACCACAACAAAAATGAAAATGTAAAATTATGGATGAACCTGGACCCTGGATTACTGTAAAGTAGAAAATAATTGCACCAACATCAGTCTGCCACATGATGAAGCCATGTGCTTTTAGGTTGCTTACCACCATGAGTGTAGGCCACCTAGCAACCACTGGGGTACTAGCTACAAGGACTGGACCGTCACACAACTGCTATGAACCAACTTACTGCTGGTGCTCACTACCTATGCATTCTAAAAGTTTTTACTTAGAATGTAGCATATCTGCTACATCATGCAATATATATGGGGTTAATAATACAGAAGCCTTTAATATAAACAATTTTAACTAAAGCAAGAGCCCTCAACCCCAGGATAAATACAGAAATATCTTCTGAGTTGAAGTTCTTAGTTTTGAGTGAAATATCACACTATCATATTTAGGATATTAGAGCCTTTAATAGGTAATTATATGCTTTTTGAAATTCTGATTCATCCATGGGATGAAAATGAAATAAACTATTCCTTACTTAAGACAAGTTTTTAGATAATACCAAGAAGTTAACTCAGCAATTACAGAACATATTGCCAAACTATACCAGTTAGACAAATTCATAGGAAGAGCTATCATGTTACATGATTTCTTTGTCTTTTGCCATTCTTACTTATTCATAAAACAGCAAAACCATTGTTGGCTTCCAATTTGCAATAAAAGTCAGGCATGAAATATAATGTGATATTTCAGATTCTTTCAAAAGACATCAGTCCTTTGCAAAATGGCAACCCAATTCCCCTTCCCTCCGGCATATTATCCCCTAGATGCACTTCAGAGAAGTCATCATTTCCACTAACAAGCAAGTGAAAAAAAAATACTATAACGAAACTTCCGCTCAGGGTCATCAGAAGTAAGAGAGACCATTAAGCTGAGAGAGATGCACAATTGGTAAACATACAGGGAATATACAATAAACTCTATGCACATGTGGTTTCTGCAACACATTACATGCTGTACCTGCACCACAGTGCATTGGGAGTTGCCCTGGCTCAGTCACTCAGTCTTTGTTATGATGCCATATTGGTTGTGGAAAATTGTTGTTTTGCTTGTATTTAACTGTGTTTTGACTTATGATGCTTTGACTTACGTTGCGACTTTCAGGAACCAATTGTGCCATAAGTGCAAGGACTGCCTGTACTGAAAAAAGTTGCTTCTCTAATATTGGTCCTATTTGTTCCAGAGTAATACTGCTGGATGAAGTTGGTAGCTTTTGAAATTACATTGCACAATCATTTTTCTGTGTTACTTGTGGTATTCGTATAAACAACAGTCAATATGATGTTAGAATTGAACTACGTATGTTCTATATTCTATATATTCTACTAGCCGCACCTTCGGTGCTCCATTACCTTGGATAGTGCTTAATTCATTCATTTTTTGCAAAATGGGAAACACGTATTTAAAGTACGTCTCCATTGAAATATGTGACATATGGGGTCAAAAGTCTTGATTTTTATCAAACTCTTTACTTCTTTGATTCAATGTGTGCCTAACTTTAAATCTTTTCTTGCGTCCCTTTTTGTAAGGTGGAGAATACATTTTGAAATACTTCCCTCCAATAATCTACGCTAAGGATACATATTTTTAAAAGTATGATTTTTCTTGTACTCAGCCATTAAACAGGTACTTCTGAGGTAAGTTTAAATTTTCTGTCTCTGTTTCGTTGGATCAAAAAAAATTTCAGGAAAATGGGACTTAAAAAAAAAAAGAGTCCTGATGGGTTTTAATGAAAATTTTTTTTTCTTCTGAAATGGAGACTCAGGGAACTCCATGTCAGTCATGATCACCTATATGTATTAGAAATGCAGAATTTTTTCTATACGCAGCTATCCATCAGGTAGGGTAAAAGACCCAGTGATGGACCGGTCCCCAGTGATGGGCCACAGCACATAAAAATTCCAATACCTAAGCTTCCATAGCAAGCCTACCCATTTTGTGACATATGCTAGCAGCATTCAAGCACATAGACACTTTAGAGGTGTTCATGGAACAAATGCATAGTTTTTAGAATTTTCCTGCTATGTGGCCCATCACTGAGTACCTGCCATTAACAGGCCCATCACTGGGTCTTTTACCCTACTTATTTGCCAAGTTTTTTTTAAACTTTCATGCACCCTCTGTTTTGCTGGATCAGAAAATTCGTGAAAATACGCCTTTTGCAAAATATGTGCCCTGAGCTGTTTTAACCGAAACGTACCATTTTTTTCTTACCGAAATCCATCCTCAGTGAACTACATGCCCACAATGTTTCAATATTATACGTTTGCCCTTTTCACTGGTGAAAAAACATGTTTGGAAAAGCCAACCAACCATAACGCTATGCCCAGAGGGGATGCACCATGAAAGCTGAATATGCCCTCAGCTCAGTAATATCATGTCACTTATACGTGTGCCAAGTTTCACCTTTCAATTTCTGTCCAATTCGCCATGACAATTTTTTTTCCAAAACATCGCACCTTGAAAAAATTCCCCCAGGGGATGTATCGAGACTTAACATTTTGTATTTAACTCCTTGTCTCAGTTGTCACATTCATGCAAAGTTTCAGCTTTCCATGTTCATCAGTTTAACTGATGCAAAAAAATTAGTTCAAAACATCCCCCTTTGAAATTTGTGCCCCCGGGGCATTTACTTCCAAAGTCTGAAGTTTTCTGCTACATCCCAATAGGTAATGTACCAAGTTTAATCTTTCCACACTAGCTCAATACACCAGGACAAAAAATACTTGAAAACGTTGGCTCACAAAAATATGCCCCCAGTTCATGGATCTAAAATTTTGCATTTTTCCTGAACTCATCATCACGGTAGGCACCTCCATGCTGAGTTTCAGCTTCCCATGTCTCTCCGTTTTACTCAAGCAAAAATAATGTTATGGAGGGGGAATGAGTAATGGGACATTGAAGGCAAAAAAAGCCACTAGAAAGATAAGGAATGGCTAGGAATTGAACCTGGACCTTCTGATTGCCAATCAGATATGCTGCTACTACACCACCGAACCCAGCACATCCAGTTTAATCTCTGAATGCAATATATTTATGAAAAACGTTTTCCCCCCAAAACGTGTACCCCTGGGGCATGTACCTCCAAATTCAGATTTTTTCTGAACTCTGCATCCCAAAAGGTACATGTTTACCAAGTTTCAGATTTCTAACCCTTTTAGAACAGGGTTAGAATTAGCGTCAGTCAGTCAGTCTATATATATTAGATATTCAACAACTGTATAGTGACTTTTGCCCCACTCTGTGCATTCCTCATTCCTTTCAGGCAAGCAGTACTTATCTAACTGAATTTTAGTGACAGGTAAACAAAGACACACAAACACACATTGGGCAACTTGAGAGCTTTGCCTAAAGTTAAGCTTCAGTATCTGTTTAGGTTGCAATTTCTCATGATAAAAGCTCCATGCCAAAACAGATAAGTAACAGTTATGCAGGTGTCCATTAGCCCTTCAGGTATCTCTTCCTTCTCACCCCTGCAAGCTCATAGCAGGCCAAAAATAAATACATAGCAATTTTTCCTGCACTGATAAAACATTATACCTTCCCTAGAAAACTGGCATATATTCCAAAGCTTGCAGTTATCACTGGCAAACTTCATCCTTTGCATCAAAATCTATGATAGTGGAGCTGTTGCAAAAAATATAATTTAGAATCTCATATAATATGAGGGCCCTTCAAGTACAGAATTCTTGAGTCTTGCATGTCACCTAAAAGGTTAAGACTCAATTTGGGGCACATACAATCTTGGAATGTGAGAATGCTTATGAGTCAGGTCCAGCACATGGGTAACAACATGGTCAACTTTTGGATATCCACAAATGTTATCTTTTCTTTCTCTTTCTCTGGGAGTCCCTCATGAAAACTCAAGGCATGGGACTTTGCATTTTTCTTCTGCACCTTATGTTCTACTGAAGCCACCATGTATGAAATTTGTAGCAGTTCATCCAACAACCGGGCCACTTTTTCACTAATTTCATTCAGGTTTGCATCATTTCCCACTGTCAAAATAATAATGAAATATAAAGGGAAGTGATAACTTGTTCCTTATACTAAAGCTTTTCCTTCCTAAGATTCTCTAATATGACTGGCTTCATTTAGGCTTCTTGTATAAGTGGGGTCAGAAGTTTAGCAGAGATGGCTTCAGTGGGTCTAATCCACTCCAGACTGATCTGTGCTGAGTGATGGACCAAAGTGATTCTGAATTGGTGCTCTGAAATACTTGGTATAAGGAACAGTTTCACCCTTTGAGGAGTGAGATTGGTGTTCTAATGTGTGGCGGGAGGGGTACATTAATGCCCTTCCATAGAAAGGTAACTCATATTCTGTGATCAAAGGCAAATGCAATGGCAAAAGGTAATGTGGTGAAGTGTAAACAACCCTTCATGGTGACAATTCATATGAATCCTTGAAGATATAGAGAAATCATTGTGTGAAATCTGAAACTGTATATTTTTGGTTGTACTCTGCAATAGATTAATGAATCTACTATGTGAGGGGTGAAATGGGCTTACGGGAAGGAATCGAACTGCTGCCGGGAGTCACCATATCGAACACGGTACACAAGAGCTCCCAAATGAATTGCCTCATCCTTGGTGCATCGATGGTACCCTGTTGAGGAGTAAAAAGTCATTCACATTCACCTGCTCTCAAATTCATGAACAATGAGGTTGGGAGAGTTGGGTGGAAATGTGAGACCTCGAATATATTTGGGGAGTTCCTGGTGGTAGTGGAAGATGATGTCTGCATTTCGATCCTTTCCTGGCACTGTGTTTGTCCACAGCTTCTTCATGAAGAACACTTGGTATGTGAAGTGAGGCAGGGTCCCTGCAATTATCCCATATAGAGGGTGTTTGAAAAGCAGCTTGGTGACATTTTTATTACCTAGTTTATGGGTAACATAAGTTATTATAGTGATGTGTGAGTTCAATTCTTAGAGCTTTCTTTTCTGAGATTAAATATATATATACACACATCAAAAAAACTTTTGCACCACCCCAGATCCCTACAAGGTTCTTGCTGTGATATTTTTGGTTATAACTTTGCTGTATTTCATCCAAATTCCATCAAAACTTTATCAAACATAACAAACACATATGGCAACAATATACTATAAGGATTTTTCAAAATGTCCACCGTCGACTGAGATACAAACTTTTAAACGCTTTGGAAAGTTGTCCACAATGGCCGTCAGCTGTTCAACCTTGATGTTGTCCCAAGTCTGAAAAAGTCCTTCTTCAGTGAATGCACCCTGCCAAAATGGTCACATGCCTAGGGGTCCAGAACTGCTCTCAGGAGCCACAACTGTGAGCAGGTCTCATTACCCACAGTTGGTGATGGTGTGGGCTGGGATTTGTGCCACAGGCAAGACTCCTTTGATTTTTGGGGGGAAAATGGGGAAAGGTCAATGCAGTCGTATGAAGACCACATCCTGAGAGCATTTCTGGACCCCTGGGCACATGACCATTTTGGCGAAAATGAATGGACGCCACAACAAGACTGGGCACCAGCGCACAGAGAAAAGACGGTGATGGAGCTCTGCAAAAAGCTGCTTCTATATCCATGGGGGAAGGATGTCTGGTGCTCAAACTCACCAGATTTCAAACATATGGACCATGTGGTCCAATTTGGAGAATGAACAGAACAGTTTGAAAAAAAAACAGAACAGAACACGTTTCCAGGATAATCTCAGAATGCCTAAAAACTGAACTTCCTAATCAGACTTCTAATTTGCCTTTCCATCAGTTGTTTATTAGCTATTCAAAACAAGTTTCTGGGATGCTCATCAAGCACCCTTTAATTTTTCAGAATACAGGATTCTGAGAACCATCTCACGAAGTAGTTAAACTTTGCACATCTCCATGCTAAACACTGAACTAGAGCAAACAGACAGAAAAATGGGCAATGCTTTGTACACTTCATGACTGCTCTACCTCTACCCCACACACAAAGTTTTTCTCATAAATTTCACTTGCTGATTTTTTTCCAACAATTTTGTTGGATGTTTCCATGAAGACATGAAACTGACAAAATCTGAGGAAGTCTTCTGTTGACCACTCATGACTTATAGGTCATAATGCTCATTTGTCACAACTATCTTTCATATCAGTTGCATCCATGCCTTGCCTTCAATTTACGGTGATACCTTTCTTTTACATTTCCCTTTCTCAAACCATCAGCACCATTGCAAACTGTCAAAATCTTGAAATGCTGCCTTCTATAATAACAGGTTGGCAATACTGAGTAGCATCACAAATTTAGTATAGTTGTTTGCAAGAGAAAGTCAAGTAGACTTTTATATTTGCTTCAATAGCCAGCACAGAATAATTTTGGCACAGATTAAGAAACTGAGAATGGTGAAGTTCATTTTCTCTAGTACAGTCTTAACAATATTTACAATTAACCTTTTATTGCATGATATATGAAAGCTTCGGAGAAAAACACCCAAATTTCATATAATTTCCTTAAAAGCACAAAAATATTATATTTTGCATAAAACTCTAAACATCTGTCATTTTATTGCTATTTTGGAAGAAGAAATGGAAGAAATTTGAGCATCAATCACTAAATTACACTTTCTGGCAACTGTAAAGCATGGCTAAAGGTCTGACTAGATGTCTCTTTGACCCAGTTTATCATGTGTGACACCCAATGATTAGATAGGCTAGACTGGTGGATGGTACATTTACACTGCACCCCCCTTTCCCTCTGAGAGGAGTAACAGTAAATTGAGCCTATCCCACAGGTTTTTTTTTTCATATGATGATTGAAAATATTGAAAACAGATTGTAACAGTTCGGGACCTGGTCACAGCTAGGAATTTAACGATCATTTACCTAATTTAATGAGAACGACACCCACATGCTTCTGGCCAAGAAATGACAGAATCTGGACTGGATGGTTGCAATAACAGCACGAAGCACATTTTCAATATTCAAATGCCACTGAATTTTCGCACAGTTAAGATGAAGCATATGAGAAAAGAATTTTCAAAGACCCGACATAGAAATATCTGGAAATTTTTCTCTGTCAAGAGAACCCAGTTCTTCTGAATCTTTGAGTCTCTTCAAGTATTTATTTAGACAGAATGAGTGCACCAACACTACATTCATCAAGTATTCAAGTTATAGCTCAAAGAGACACAATCCATTTGTTGTCTTCATTCAAATCACAGATGACCAATGAAAATGAACACCCATTGAAAAAGAATCAAATTTAATAGTCTGCCCTAGGGGATTGCTTTCCCTTAATATTGAACCCATTGCATTCCCCCCAAGACCATCTTACACCTCCCATTTTGAGAAACACTGCCTTAACCCCTTAGGTGCTTTTGACATAATATTACACACCTTGTTCCTGCCCATAAATTTTTTCATACTAAAAATTATATGTCTATAAAACTGTCCTGTAAAGTGATTGTATTCTACGTAATACTGCAAGAGTTGGATGCTTGGTTATGGTAAAATTTGTACACCATTGGTCAGACAAAGACATGGCATTTAAAAATTAAATCATAAAATGTCCACATGGATACCAGAATTGAAACACCAAGGCCTGCTGAGAAACTTTAAAAACTATTAATGAGGGAATCACAAAAAAAAGCAGTATGTGGAATTGGACTTGAGGAGGGTCCTGTCTCTAACCATTTTAGTTACCAATCTTATCTATTTAATCTAAAGGAGTAGAGCTTGGGACATATATTACTCAATGTGCGTGCACATACATTCATTTATATTCACATTCCCCTCTCTCACACACCTTGAACCCCATATCTAATTCTGTCCATTCTCCCTATGACTTCATGTTTACTAACTGAGGGCTGTGTTCACACACACCCCTACTCTCTTTACATATTCTACACTTGGACTCATTGGTTCACAAAACATGAAATAAGAAAGCACAGCAAGTCCAATTTAGGCTAATCACGATCAGTAATTTGGGCAAAATCATCCAGGCCCCTGATATCTGGATGGAAGAGATTTACTGTAAATTAGACAACTCTTTAAATATATAAATTCCCATCTGTGTTACTGCAAATGAACATTTAACTTCCCACTCGGTCCTACACTTTGAATAGGCCCATGCCTCCCATATGTTTTATATCTTAACAGATATAAATACCACAACACAAGACATTGGGATTAAACTTACAAACTGAGAGAACTAATACCATATCCTATGGCTCACACATACAAAGTAGGGCAAAAGTCACAATACAGTTGTTGAACATAGAACAAAGGCAAATTCCTAATGTCATATTGACTGTTATTTAAAACAAAAACACAAAAAAACAGAAAAATTATCCTGCAAATGTAATTTCAAAAGTTACTGGCTTCATCCAGCAGTATTACTCTGAAACAAAAAGGATCAAATTACCAAAATATCTACTTTCTGTATACAAGAACTATATGGTAACTTTTGCCCCACCCTGTACAACTAATGCCATATCCTATGGCTCACATATACAATCAGATGAGAATAGAGGAATCATCTCAAATAATTTAGTTTTATTTTTACCTTATAAGCTTTGAAAAACAATGACCCAACCAAACAATCAATACACAAAATCTTAGGTATATAGAGAGCTCTAAGAGCACGTTAGAGACTGCTTGTATGTCTGCCTTCATCAAAAAACGAACGAAGGATGAAGAGCATGGTGTAGAACAACTTGGTCTCCATGCTGTGAATTGATGGGGAATAGATCAAGAGGAAAGAGAGCATTACTCGAGCACTGTGGAGTTCCAACTCAGATGCATGATACCCACAGTACCTGATGTAATACTCACCCCCCAGCTTGATAATATGATTGCTGGCCTCTTCTTCCATCTCCATGTCATTTTGGTTGTTCTCTTCCTGCACAGCAGTGGAAAAGGAAGAGTCTACAAGGATGAGGCAAGGACAAGGACACTCACCATCGCGAGTGGGTCGAGCTTTCTTGATCCAGTCAGTGAGATGCCGCACAAAGTCAAAAAAGAAATCCCCCTCAGGCACTGAGATGACTTTGTCTGCTATCTTCACAAATAGGCTAAATCCTTCGCTACTTTTCAGGTTCAGGCGCTGAGCAATGCTCTGGCAGAAGTCCTTCGCTCGCGTGGATGAATCGACCTCAAATGCTTCATCCGTATCATCAGGGAAGTAGACTTTATGGAAGATCTGAGTTGTCTTGTGCTGGATGGCCTCAACCTCAACCTGGTGTGGAGGGTATTTGCGTTGACCATTGCGCATGGTCTTCTGGAGGCGCTGGAGGGCATCAAGTGCAATTGGATGATGTCGACTGCGAAGAAATTGGTTCAACTCCTTCAGCAAGGTTTGGGAACAAAGGAAGAGCCCTGTGGCAAGCCACATGAGCTCCCAGCCACGCTCCTCACTCAGCCGATTCCGATTCTCTGTCAGTTGTTTCATCAGCTGGCAATAAATCTCATCACGCAGGATCTCCTAAGGAAACCAAGAGAATGAATAATGGACGTGAAATAATTCCAAGAGAAAACAGAGTGAAACATCAATGACGCACATGTTGGAGAGGTCCCTCAAAGATCTGGTCAGTGAGCTCATTCCCTGTTCGGGAGCGTCGTGATGGCAGGTCTCCCATGTATTTGAGGATGGCTGAGAATGCAACAATGGCCTCTTGAGCTAAGTCTTCCTTAGACAAGAGTTTCTTGAGCAGTGGTTGCTTCATGGGCTCTCGTGTATGGCGCCATAATTCATCCTTTCCACCTGTCTTTCGTGCAGTTGTCAGAGCCAATGTTCGAGGCATTGTCCGCTTCATTGGTGGCCTAATGGAAGGGGAAAATACATATCCTGGGTCCAGAGATCTGGAATTGAACATATGGAGATGATTCATCCCACCTGAAGTGATCAATGGCATATTGCTCAAGGGTATGAGGTTTCTCCTCTGGTTCAACTCCATTGACATGAGGTGTCAAGAGGTGTCTTGATGTCTCACCTCCCTCACCAGTGAACAAGCCCTAAAAAAAATGAATCAGTTAAAAGGTAGTAACAAAGACACACATCTTGTTTGAGATTTGAGGCCAGAACAAAGGCAGAGTTAATCATACAAGGATCTCTGGGGAAGGACGAGTGAGCGTTGGAAGAATGTAGACATTCTCCATGGATACATCCCCAACATCTTTGGTGCGCTCATTCAAGCCCATGGCCCAGCCATTGCTCTGTAGGGTCTCTCCAGTACTGTCCTCATCCAACACAATCATATCTCCCTTCTCCAGCAATAGGATCTGACTGCCTTCACCTAACCAAAGAAATTAAAGATCCTCACAGTCACCCAACACAAAAACTGTAACTCAAGTGAAGATGAGGTACATCTACCTCTACAAGTGACTTTTAGACCATAGGCATGTACATTGCAATCATAAGCTTATTTTCACACAAGTATGATCAGCCTTGTTGAACAGGTGGGAAAATACTGCAAGTATATAAATAAATAACCTCTTTAATCCCAAGCATTTTCCAGCACAGAACATTCTCTTTTAAATATTAGCAGCACCACTTTGAAGGGTCTTTTTGAATTAATTTTAAGGGGTACATCTGCTTATATGTCTACCCTTATTGAAAACTGGATTTGCTGCTCCGATGAATGTTTATTAAGTCATTTATGATTTAAAAAAATGCAAATGTCCAATAATCTGGAAACTGAGACTAAAGAAGATATAGGGTCTGCTGGGTTAGCTTTTAGGATTTTTTTTCTTGGAATTTTGTTTTGACAAACATTTGAATAAAATCTTGTGATGTGATCAAATCTCAAAAACCAAAGTCAAGTCCAAACACCAAAATGCCACCATCTATTGATATCAGTTGATGTCATCAAATTGCTTGCACCAATGTGATCACAATAAGTGGCATCTACTGTAATAGCAAATGATAAAACCAATGATGTTGTAAAAGTTTCAATATATGGAGAAAGGACAAACACCATGAAGATAAGCAAATAATTAATGGTGATGGTAAAATATCCAAAACTTCTCCAAAGAAAATATATTTTTCTTTGCAGCCAAGCACTTTCTTGCCGTGCTTCAGGCTTGATTTCCCTTATGTTGCTTTTTAGTCTACATGAAGGATATAGTGGTATCTGAATTTTATGTGGCTCTGCAGCAGTAACATGTATCAAATGATGGTACTTTGCATCCCACCACACTTCTCATTGTTCCTCCAAAAGAAGGTACAAGTTTCTCTAGCCTTCCACATTAAAGAACAGCAGGAAGGCAAATGAGTACATTCAGTTAACAAGCAATCAACATAACGTATCACTCAGTTTTTCAGTCAGGTGAGTGCTTGCATACTCAAGTAAATGGAATCTGGGACCATTCCTAGGCCAAATCATAGATTAAGGCAAGCTGCACAAATGTGGGGTGCTCAATATAACTGTACCTGATGGTTTATAGTCCTGAAGTGCAATGAGATACTGGGAGCGTTTCTTGAGACCTTCAAGGAAGTAGACAACCAGGTCCCGAATGTCCTCACTATTGGGGCTCTGGAAGGTAAATTCTTCATTCCGGACCGTTGTGATGGAGAACGCATGTGACGCACCCCCAGTCTTAGGCCCTTTCTCTGAGGAAGCCACATTGGTGATCTCAGGGAAACTGAGCTCAAGGAGGACCTGCTCCTGATCATCTACCACATAGACCCCCGTCCAGTTCACGGCCATGATCACATCGTTCTTCGGCAGATTGGGACCAGAAGACCGGAACGCCTCATAGAACCGGGAGAAAAGCAGTGGCCATTTGATCTTGGCATAGCTGACAATGTCTTCCTTCACACGAACTCCAGGGCTTTTCTCCTTCACAAAGTAAGCCTAAGAGAAAAATGAACAATACAATAGAGCATGCATCAAATAGAAGGCTAGGTCATGGAGGAAGAAGATGAAAACCTTTTTGAACGATTGAAGTGTGAGCTTGAGCCATCGATCGAGACTCTCTTCCCCAGATGGAAGACAATAATCGGGGATGTAAGAAAGGAGGGCCGCACGCAGTCGTTCAGGATTTGTGTCCAGCCCATTCTCTATGTAATACTGCTGAGCACTGATCATGGCCAGGTCTTCCTCCTGGGTAAATACAGAAATTACAAAGACTTTTCCTAACAAGGTAGGCAAATGGTTAGAGCAAGGGGGAGGAAACCAACTGACTTTATCACAGCGATACTCTCCAAACTTGATGCCTCGCACCACCTGCTGATATATGAGGTTTGTGGCAATGGAATCAACAGTGGCATCATGCCAAGGAGCAAAGATCTCCTTGCGGAAGAAGAGCCTCCATGGAGCGTTCCGCTCCTGGGCTCCCTGCTCCTTGGCATATTGCTCACACTGTGAAATGGCATCCATGACATGATCACCTCCACTTCCCAGTGATGATACCTGCAATGGACCACACAATCCCATGCCATTTTGACACTATCGGTATTGTGGTATCAGTAATAAATGAAGAATGAAAGTAGAGAAGAGAGATTTGGGACCTTGTCAAACAGGGCAATATAGAGAGAGAATCCAAACTGATCCTTGAGCCCAATCTTGTCTGCAAGCTGGTTGCAAAGCTCCCGAGCTGTTGTCGCAGAGTCAGCCAGGAGGGTCTTGGTGTTCCCATCCATGAATGTGATTGGAAGCATGAGTGGCTTCTTGCTCTTTGTGGCCTACAGATGAAGGAACAGAATAATTATTAAAATTCATCTCCATAGGTAGACTAGAAGAAAATTCTTCTCCTCACCTGAAGTTCCAGCCACGAGGGAGGTTGATTGCGGGTACCATTATTGAAGGTACGCTTGAGACGTTCCTCACAGTACGGAGCATACCCAGGGGGTCCTTCGCGGATGAAGCATCGAAGGTACTTGACAAATTCATTCGAGGGTGCAAAGCAGCCGACACAAAGACTCAGGAGGATCCAGCCCCGAGCATGACTGCTTTTAGAAGGGTTATTCGTCAGCTGCTTGCATATCTGGCAGTAGATCTCATCCCTGTTCATATGGATATTGTTCCACATTGTAGTATGAAGAATAAGAAATAACAGAATGCTGCTACAACAACATAAGTGAGACAGACCGGAGTTCAGAACGAAGGATGCCATGCCCTATGATGAAATGAAGCTTCTCTAGATTGGATGTGGGTCGGGATTCCAACCACGAAGAATAACTCTCAGCTGCATATTCCTCAGGATCGGCAAGCCGGCGTCGCACGTCCTCGCCGAGTTTGTTCTTCCGTTTCAATGTCAATGAAACAAGCTTGTGACGGATGGAGCGCTGGGCCCCACCTGTGCCACGGTCTCCACCTCCACCCTCTCCAATCATCTGCTGGGCTTCCTGGAACTCCCTGGTCTTGCTAAAACTACGTCCAAGAGTGGCTGTGACCTTGCTCATGACAGACATGTTGTCACGGTCCATTGTGTGATACTTTGGCTCTGGGAGATCCCCCATGAAACGAAGGATTGTGATCCAAAGTGCCTGTGCAGCCTGAAACAGGAGAGAGCAATGTCAACAGATGCAAGCACAATAAAGCCATAGGCAAGAATGTTGCTCTCACAAGTTGATCTGCTTGAGTGTGAAGAGAAAGAAGAGGTTGCTTGAGGGCCTTCCGACTGTACATGTGATTCACATTCCCTTGAAAGTATGTTGCAGCAAACTTCTGGAACTTGTACTCCGATAGATCCTCTCGGTCTTCGGGTGAAGTTGGGACGGCATTGATCAGCTCTCCTCCCATTCCTCGGCCCCTCTCTAGGTCCTTTGAGACCGGACAAGAACACAGGTGTGGCATGAAGCGAGGCAGAGACAAGAGAGATTGACAAGAGCAAATAATCTGATAGAGACCTTGAAAGCTGAAGGGGCCTGTTGATTCTCAGAAGGTGTGTCAGTTGGTAGGAATCCAAAGATGTCATCAACCAACTGGGCATCGTTGAGTGGTTCACTTCGCCTCTGTTCCGCTGCCCTCAACGCAGCCTTCTTCTTCTCCATAGCACGTCTCTCTTCCATCTCCATTTCTTCCTCCTTCCTCTCCAACTCTTGCAGGCGAGCCTGGAGATAGAAGCAACTCTGCAATGATGGCCAGAAGACAACTGGCTCCAGTACGATCATGAACGCAGGCACCTACCCGGTACTTCTGTTCGGCAATCTCTCGGGCTTTCTTGGCACCATGGTGCTTGCGAAGTTCCTTCTCTTCCTGCTCTCGCAGACGCAGGGCTTCCAGACGGTGCCTGAGGTCAAAGCGAAGCTTGCGGTAACGGCGTTGCGCGTTCATGCGCCGCACATGAGACTGGATCTTGATGACGGCCCAGAGCTTCCTGTTGGCGTGTCGCCGTGCCAAGTATCCTCGACAACGTGCTTGAAGGGAGACCACGTGCCCTCGGAGATGACGGAAGCGATGTGACAGGACCCGGGAACGGATGAGGGCCTGCATTCGGGAGAACCCGACACGAACGGCAAGGAAGCGGCGACGAGCGGCCATCTTGCGCCAGTATCGCTGGATGACGACGGCAGCAGCTCGCATACGGCGATATCGTCGTCGCTGATACCATCCTCGAATATTCTTCTGGATGATGAGGATCTTGCGAGTGAGGACTCGATCCCGTTCTTGTTCCAAGTACAGGTCGTGAGCATCTTTGAGAAACACCTTGCTCTTCCCCAACTGATAGTCAGCTCTCTGACCCAAAACGGCCTGACAGATGCGACTTGTCGCATCCCGGCAATCAACCTGAGGAGGAAAGGGATAATTAAGGCCAAAGTCTTCAATTCAAAGTTAGAAGGCAGAAGAGGTGAACAAGAACCTTGTGAGATGGGGGAATACGGGAGATAAGGAAGCGATATCGGTCCACAAATTCCTTATAGGTGTGTCTAATTGGGTATCCTGCTCGGCGGATGCGGATCGTTTCCATCATACCCGAGTAGCGTAGTTGGCGGCAAGAAAGCTCCCGATCAAACAGCTATTAACAAAGAACAAAAAAATAATAATAATCTGGTTGTGTTGCATGCTGAGTATAAATTAGTACAAAAAAAAGATATGCGAGACCATGGGTTTCTTGAATTCGTTAGGTTTGATGCATCGGATGAAGAAGGGCTGGCACTGGGAGAGAGTTTTCATTAGGGAATCCAAGCTCTTCTTGAACTGAGTGGAAAGCGTGGGAGCTCGCTTGCGTGTCTCCGAACCCATGCGAATTTCTTCTCCAAAAAGACTTTGGAGAAACTTGTTTTTGCTCATGTGGATGAGCTGGAGGAGATCAGCAGAGAAGGTGTCACGATTCTTCTCGAGGAATCCCCGTGTGTCGTAGAAAACAACTCCTGCAAAGTGGTTCAACCCGAAGGACGTGTTGATGTCCGATTTCGGCTTTAGGTAGTTCTTATTCCCCCCATGGGTCTTATGGAGCTTAGCCAGAAGGGTCTGGTCTGTGCCCTTCGGGAACTTGGATTCCTCATCCACCAAGGCCATGATATTCAGAGACTTAATCCCGATCAGGTCCAAGCAGTCCTGGTTGTCCACAAACTCAATGTGATGCCAGTTGATGGCCTCTAAATTGTATTCTTCCTGTTCCAGCTTGAAGATGTGCCGAACGAAAAACTGTTGCAGGTTCTCGTTCGCAAAGTTGATGCAAAACTGTTCAAAGCTGCAAAGATACATGGGATGTTTCTATCAATGTCTAGGCGACACGCAGAAGCATCAACATTAAATGAATGCAAAGGAAGTCCACCTGTTGTGATCGAAGTTCTCAAAACCGAAGATATCCAAGACTCCTATGCAAGATCGTGACCCGGCCTTGCTTCGGAAGATGGCTGAATTGATCTTATTCACGATCCAGACGAACAGGCGAGCGTAGATTCCCTTGACGAGAGCATCTCGAACGTCCATCGCGTTGGCCAGTGCTAGATTGGACACCTTGACGGCAAGAAGACGTACTCGTGGTATTCATCGCGCTCGTGTCGACACGGGAAGAACAGAGAAAGAAGAGAGGAATACTCACGACGGTCTCGCCTTGAGTGAAGATGGTCTTGGTGGTGAGAGCATCCACGATGGCCTTGGGCTCCAGACCGAGGAGTTTTCCAAAGCGTCCCACGTTGGTCATGTCGGGGATCTGAGTTGCATCCAGGTTATCTGCAGGAAACATCATTCTCCAATGACATCGTCAAAATCGCAAAGGAGGTATACCGTCGGCCTACGAGTACAAAAGGAAACGAACCGATAACGTGTGCCTTGTACTTGATGTTACCCATGTGGAGGATGGCTGCGAGGAGCTGCAGCGTTTCCCAAATCTCGCCATCGGAGAACATGAGAACCTTCATGGCTGAACGGATGTCGGCAAACTCAGTTGCGTCGTCTCGCCCTTCGCACGTCGTACTCCCTCCTTTAGTCAGATAGGAGTACTGAGAGGCATCGACTAGGTCCAGGCGTCGCTTCTCTTCCCGAGTCAATCCGGCCAGCATGCAGTAAAAGATGTGATAGTTTCTCTCGTCGTGCGCCTGGGACACGATGCGGCTCTTCTCCAGGAGGTACTGCTCGATCCGGGCACCCTCGATCACCCCGGCCGAGTTGAAGTGGATGTCGATGTATTTGCCAAAGCGAGACGAGTTGTCGTTGCGGATCGTCTTGGCATTCCCAAATGCTTCGAGGATGGGATTTGCCTCCAGGATCTGTTGCTCGATCCATGAATGCTTCCCAGAGATGGCGGCTAGGTATTGGAGGATCAGCTTCGTACTCTCCGTTTTACCCGCTCCCGACTCGCCACTGTAGCAAGCAAAGGAAATTTGAGACTTCAGGCAAAATGAAGTCCTCCGAAAAAAAGACAGCAGTCACACAACGAAAATTTCCACTTTTAAACTGCTCCGACCACATACCATCAAATTATACACAGAATACACTGAATTTATGTAAACTGATCCCTTTACAAAACTCAGGATCTTACGCAGTTATCTCCCTTCACAAGGTTCACCGCAACTGTAGGAAGCAACAAAGAAAATTACAGCTCCCTACTTCTTGAGTTAATGGGAGCTGGGAGCTCTTTTCTGGTCATGAAACAATATTCAATATTTGACATGCAGAACAAATTTTTGTTGCCGTTCACCATCGCTCATGAATTGAGTGTCCTGTAGGAATCCATCAATGTCAACAAATCAACAAGAAATCCTAATGAGGATTAAAGATTCCAGTTATTTAATTAATCTGCAACCCAACGGTTACCGAAATTCAAAGAAAATTCCCTTGGAGGTGTAAAATTATCTCTGAAACGAGACTTCCAGGAGAGTAGCGACGTTGTCACATCTGTCAACTCAGTTATACATTTCCTATTGCTACGAACTTCCTTCCAAGGATAGAGGATACCGACTTTCAAGGCGAGTTTTCGCGGGTCTAAAGAAGGCCCAGTACAGGGAGGGAAAAAAGGAATAACTGGATATTGCATTAATTAAAAAAAAAAAACAGCACGTGCCGCCCTAGTTTTGCTTTCACTCAAGCTCCGCGGTTCTCTCTCTTTTCCCCCCTACTAGGGGAAAAGACTGGACTATTGCAGCTCGAAAATGCACTGGGAGCGGGAAGTTATTCCTTAACTCTAGAACTGCCAACTGTCGATAAATTCACAACCAACCATCGATTTTAAAAGCATCGAGTTTAAACCCAATTTCTCCACGGCACGGAAATAAAAACCTTTCCAGAAGAAGAGCGATATGAGATCGGAAACATTCATCAATCGGGCGTGCAAAAAAAACTAATAGTAGCAAATACTAGAATCTGACTAAGATTCAGGAGTGGGGCAGGATAATTGAAAACATACATTCCTCCGAATTGTCAAGAGTGCTGAATGCTTGGCTGCCGGGTAGATACGAGATCAATCGCGCAAATTTGGATAAATCACGGACGACACGGGGGGATGGAACCGCATATTACATTTATGCGGTGGTGTACATTTCCTCTGGAGTTAACAACTTATTCGAGATTTTTCAGCTGCGACTAATACGTTTATGGTGCACTTGCAGACTAGAAGGCAAGGAAGCATGCAATTCTCAGTTTTTTTGCAGAGGAAAATTGGATAATCTGGAGTGAGACTGATTCGGGAGAGAAGGGAGAGGACCCCTCTGTTCCTGTCGTTAGAGGGAATCGCAATTTCCCGTTTTCCCCCCTCATGCAGGAAATGCAACACATATAAATAAGTAGGGGGGAAAAGAGAGAGAACCGCGGAGCTTGAGTGAAAGCAAAACTAGGGCGGCACGTGCTGTTTTTTTTTTTTACCTTTTCTGTCGTGGTCAGAAGAACTTCCCTTTCCCACGCCTGGGAGACACTCGCAGCTTTTAATGCCGGAGACCGGGGAATGCATCGTAGCCGTTAATCAAAACCTTAGTAATCCGTTAGGAAAGATCGATCGGTTACCTGGTTATCCATATAACGGTTGGGACCCCTAGATTTAACACTTCCTGAAATTCCTGAGTTCGCCCTTCCCATTTCTTCTACGTTTCAAGAAGTGATGGTGTAAGTTTGAAGCAGGGTACTTCCATATTCTTCCCCCATAGCTAAGAGTTGAGTAACAGTTGAGTTCTAATCATCGGAAGTTTTCCCATCTGCCGTATGGTCTTCATTTAGTCAAGCTCTAACGGAATTTCTCAAGCCGTCGTCTTTCAACTGCAGAGGACTATGGGAGTCTTCGTCAAGATTAAGTCATGCAGCACAAAAAACTGAGACTTCAAATAATGCAGGATCGATCAGTCACGATTTTTGCCATGAATCAGACAGCAATCATCACTCTGTGTCCTGTACGTACAACTAGGATTACTTCAGTACTTCGACGGCTTTTGGCAGTAGCGACTATTAAAAAATGTCATTCTCCATGGAGATCGACGAGCAAAAAAATATTAATCGGGAACGTATTCATCCTCGCCGTCTAGGGCTGCCGTTACGCTGCCGTACAGAAGCTGCACTGCCGTATCGAAGCCGGAGGGGAAAGACCCTCGAAGAGGTTGCGAACTGCACGTCCACGTAAATAGCTGCGCGAGACGTACCTGATGACGATGCACTGGTCTTGTCCGTAGCGTCTCATGTGGGAGTAGGAGTTGTCACCGATGGCAAAGATGTGCGGAGGGAGTTCCCCGATCTTCCGGTCCCGATACAGCTTGATCTGTTCTGCCGTATAGATAGGCAGGATCTGGTACGGGTTCACTGCCACCAGGATGCTCCCCGTGTACGTCTGCGATAGGGAATTGCAAATAGGAAATCGGCACGGGACTGCGTCTGCGTTCGGAGTACGCGTGGATTCGTGTCATCGCGGCAATTCTATCCTCTTCCCATCGACGGGAACTACCGATGGATTCTCTCATCGACTCAAAAGTAAAACGAGGAACGTGACGGTGCCACCATATTCACTCCCCCTCCGTGCTCTCATTTTCCTTTTGAAAAAGAAAATGGGAGTGCTGCCCGTAACGCCAATGCAGTGGTGGCACACACGCATGGCAAAGAATCTGGTTCGTGGGAATCGTCCCTCTAACTCTCAGCGGCCTAAAGCATTCCTAAGCATAAGACCCATGATGATATTTCAGTTTCCGCTTCAGAACTTTTCATACGAAAATGCTAGATAAATTCTCCCAAATTAAAACGAAGCAACAAAATTATGCTTTAAAATGATACACGTTTCATATTTTTCGAATCATCAGGTCTCAGGCTGCACCCCACTAGCAAAAAGTTATGTTAAACCCTGTACTCCGAGCCACTCACGAGTACAAGCAAGGTGGCCATATATGCACCATCAGAGTTCACGCTGGCGTTTTCAAATTTTTAGACCCAGGAACTCAAAGTAGCTGGCATTTTGAGTATTACTTGAATACATGTAGAGTTTCTCATGAAATTTTACTTACGAAAATCCAGGCATAAAAAGCAAATTTTTCATGTTTGCTCTAAATCACAAAACATCTTATCTTCTCTAAATGCAGCCACGTGAACTCGAGTTCCCACTTTGCGATGAACCGTGTGTCTTTTTGGAGTCAGTTGCGATAGGCTAGGAAAATGCACGACGCGCAGTGCCATGTTTTTCACTCGGGTCGGACATTTTCTTCGATCGACTCAGACATCCATGCAAGAACGTCGCACGCACCGGTGAAAATCGTCTGTCACGAGAGAAAAACACAGAATGCGGTGGAAAGTTCTCGGCCGAGGTTTGCAAAATGTCTCTCGGGCGAGACCTGGAGTCTCCCTTCAAAATTTGCCGAAAGGTAGCCAAAATGGATGGTTTCATGAAACTTACATTGGAAATGATGAGGTGTTTTAGTTAGGCCATCGGGGTCTGCTAAAGTCAACGTTGTATATGCCCGAGGTACACACCTCTATCGAACGCAGATTTCAGCCTAGATAAACCAGCAACCTAACTCGATGCAATTACTGTCTTAGCCAAAAGGTTACATAATGCAAAGCGTGAGGCTGTCGAGTACGAGAAGCTATGAGCCGAGCCGTTCGTGGAGAATACCGCACTACAACACTTGATTATATTGTCGACAAAAATACTCGATCAGCTAAAAATAAAAATATATGAAGTTAGAATCCAAATCCCTTTGGAACAGAAGAAAGTAAAACTTGTTAGAGATCAGGTCACCAAAGGCAGGAAAATGCGATTTCAGCGAATCTTCGGAAAGAATCTTAGGCATAAACATCAAGAATTTGAAAGTGTGCTCTCCCTAAGAAATTATTCCGTTTTTTTCCTCAAGCACTACTTCACAGAGGTATAATATCAGTACAGAGAACTCATAAATTCCTTTGAGGACGAGATCTGATTTCTGGGTAGAAATACCATTTTCATGATCAGATACCTATCTGGATCCGTGTTCATGAAAGCATATACACTGCAAACACAAGGGCAAGACATTCCTGAGACATTCAAAGAACTGTGTTTGCGAGAAGCGGAAAAGGTTGCATGTATATGTCAACACTTTCATAACTACCAGCAATTGGAGACTCAATTTTTTTACTTCTCCATGATCATAGTACATTCCAGACATTTTTCAAGCTCATTTAATATCTGAAGCTCATGTTATTGACTGTTCTTGTACTCGAGTCAGCCATAACTCAAGAAAGGATAGTTCCAAACAGATGAAATTGTAAAAGCTCTCGAAGAACATATCAGGCGACGTGCCAATGAATTTTCGAGTCAATCCGTTCAAAAATTTGGATTTTATAGGAAAATTTCGATTGAGTTTACTTTTATTTTGCATAACCCTGTGGTCTGGATGCACGGGACCATAGGTTACTAATCCTACTTCCACTCGCGCCACGGCCTTCTCCTAACCGAGACTCATGCGCTGTGTCGCACAATGGATCTCATTTCCATTCCTCATACAATCTATGTGGCGTCACATCGTAGGGGGAACATTGGCATGACGTCGTTGGTGTCAAGAGCGCTTAGCATATCGGTCGTAATTAAAATTCTGCAATACGTCACGCTGTGGGCGACGCCTGACAGCAGCATGGAGGGAACACCACTGGTATGGTTCTACTTGGCATCCCCGAGTTCAGACCGATTAAATTTATATGGCTCGTGATGGGGGTTCAAGCACCGGTCTAGTTTTTTTATGGTTCTACCCCGAAGACAGTGAGACTCCATCTCTCCATAGAAGGGCTCCGGAGGAGTCCACGTACGAATGAGCGAGTCGGGGGGGCTTGAAGAATGGCAAAGGGGATGATAACGCACGTCTATGCCATCCGAGCGTGGGATGCTTTCTCTCCCTCCCAGACATGTACACGGTATACGGCGTTAGAGAATGCGAGAGAAAAGAACGGAAGTGTTGGGAAAACAGGGACTCACGTAAATGAGGTTCTCGTTGTATCGTATGAGGAGGTTGCGAAGGATGCCGGCCTCGTGGAGATCCCCCAGAGAGATCATGTCCTCTACCCCCTGCACCGAGGTGGGGTGCATCGCCTTGATCCTCCTCTGCGGGGTCAACCATTGCTCCTACGGCAAGGGAACAACGTTACGTCTCTTTCATCGTGCCGGATAGAGAGGGGAAGGGAGACAGAGAGCGAGGGAGGAATGGTGATGTGGATGACGAGGCAAATGATCGCTGAATGTGCCACGTCACCACATGAGACGGGGAGATGTCACCATCACCTCCCATCAGTGACAATCCACGGAATCATAAGGCTGGAAGGACTGCCTTCCCTCTCCATTCCCATTCTTTTTCAGGCAAGAGACATGCCCCTCGACAAAATTCCTTTTCTCTCGAGTCTTGGTTGAAATCGGTCTTCCCCACGATCTAGACCTCGATCCAACTGCTTTCCGTCGGGGAATCGAATAAAAAACGAGCACCGGTAACGAAAGGGAATTTTACTCCATGTTATGGGTATAGAGAGTTAAGGATAACGAAGGCGTGCTCGAGCGCATAAATACAGGGACGGTATCTGGCCGAGAGAGAGGGGAATGCAGGAGAGCTTATCACAAGTGGCACTTCTCCGGTGGAGATATGAATCATCGGGAATCCACTGATGCGAACTGGGAATCGCAACGATGAGAACGGGAGGAAGAAAGATGGAGAGTAGAAGAGACGGAGAGGCGTGACGTAAAAGGGGCGGAGGTCCGAAAGAATCTCACCTTATTGTCGTCGTCGACGACGAGGATCTTCACTCCGTCGGCGGCAAGGACCCGCGCTCCGATGGCCACATCGAACTGCCTTTTGCTCACCGGCTCGATCCAGATGTAATCACCCTGAAATCCCAGAAGTCAATCATTTTCCTCCCCGTTCTCTTCGAAAGGAATAACGCGTACACGGATCGAGGCATCGCGAATCCGGATGTACCGAATCTCTTCGAGTCCGCAACGAGAAGGAAATACAAAAAGCGGTAGAACTTCAGACGACTTGTACGGTGTTATCTTGCAATTTGGCGTCTAGCCCTCATAGACGTCAGAGGTTCCGCGCGTCTTTGTATCCACAAACTCAGATTATCGACGTTCGCGGGAAGTGGCGATGAATTTTTCAAGCTACAACTCATCGACCCTACCGGACCCGAAGCCATCCATCGACCTCGACGCTAGCGCACCTCTTTTCTCGTCGCACCGATTCTCTTCGCGCGATGGAAGCCGGATGGATGGAAAATGGGAAAAACAGCAGAGCAAAGGTAGAATATAAAGTCGATTTAGATGCGGTGTGACGGAGAAGAGGGGTGGTTCTGTTCTCACATATCGTGCTCCCACGCAGGCCTAACTTTCCTCTACGGTCATTAATACGGAGCCTTCTGTGCGAGTAGACGAGTGCCACACTCACGGGGATCAACACTTGCGGCTTGCCTTTCTCCGCCATACCTAATCCGCTGTGCACATGCAATGGACACTGCGAGCCTGGCACAGACGAGACTCCGGCCCGATAATAATGCTCTTTATTTCGCGTTCCTTATCGGAATGGAAAAAAAGAGGCGCGATAAGGCATGGAAAACTCACTCGTGTGACAATCACCATCTTCTCTTCTCGGTTCGGTATCACATATCACAATGAAAAGGGAGATTCGGAAACGGACGGAATCAGTTACACGGAATGGACGGATGGGATGGCACGGGTGCCATGCTTCACCTGGGGGAAAGAAAAAAAAACAAATGAAGCGACTATGAAACACCATAACGTATACAACGTGGTAATGCAGGAACGAAACGTGGATTCCCCCCCCCCAGAGATGGTAGGCTGAAACGCGGATGTATTGTGTGCGTACGAGTGAGTGAACTGGGACGGACTCCACCCATTCGTCCCCTGAATCGTTCATCCGTTCTATCATCTCTACGGTGACCATAGTCTATAGGAATAGGAAACGGTGCATCGATGAGGCCTTGGCTGTAGGTTCAGGAGCGAAAAGGAGACATTCTTTCCATATCTCTCTTCTCCTCCTCCTCTTCCTACACGTGCTCCGATAGCTTTACGGAGAAAGAGACGAGGGGAATAAGGGAAGAGGGGGGAAAAAAAACCAGCGGAAAGGAAGAAATAAAAACCTCCCCCTCCTTCCTCTTCGTAGCCCTTCTTGTTTCAGGCCGACAATTTTCTACCGGTCCGCACACGATATACGGAAGGTATATCCATGATGGAGCGAGGAGGAAAAAAAAGAAAGAGAAACGGGGGAAAAGGGGTGGGGGAGGGCTTCCGGTGAAATGCATTCAATCGCCAGTGGGTGTCACTAGGAAAGGAAAACGTACGATCGTATTCATTCGGAATGACGTCGTCGCCTTGCCATCCCAACTCACCCAGTGTCGTTCCACGATCTAGAAATATGCCCCGTGCTCTCTTCCCCACAGGAAAGGGTTTCTAAGGCTACCCGATCAATAAGCACGTTACTCCCAACAATGATGATAATGACCCATCCGTTGATGCTCAACAAACCACAGTGGACAGACACCGTGTTTCTATCTAATTTACTTACAGGCAAATTCCCCTATCCCCTCCCAATGACCTTTGTGTTCACCGAGTTTCTCTGTGTTATGGTGATCAAATATACAGTGCACCTTTAAGCAAAAAGTACCGAACCAACTCGAAGAAATAAGGTACTATCAATGCATCAATTCCTTTCGCCATGCTAGATCGACAAAAATCACGTTTATAAGGTGGGGTTTTTCTTAAATTTGAAATCGATTTTCTTCAGTCTGCCGATCGTTCCCTAACTTTTTTCCATCGCATAGACCATTTCTTGAAGCCTTCTTCGCGCTCCGTCGTCGGGGCGGACACTGGACCCCGGCAATGGATATACAGGGTGGACCGAAAAAAGGGACTTAACACCTCACGGAAAGATTTCTCGAGTGCTCTCGAATCGCGATGGCGTCGACGCGTGGAACATTTATTCGGGTTTTCGCCGATATCAACGTACGGTATTTTAGATCCCTGATGTACGCAAAGCGCAGGAGAGATGGCGTTCGAAAAAGAGGATGCCGTGCTGCGATGCGTGCACGAGGTCGCTCTCTCGCCTTCGACGGATCGAATCGGCGCGCAGTGCAGGCGATGCACTTCGGTTCGGCGGGAAAATTCGGTCCGTGGCATCCAGACCGAGGCGTACTCTCGAGCTGAGAATCGAAAGCTCGGGCGGAAGTCCTCGTCGCGCAAAACGTTCCGTTCGACAAGCCGTGCGTCGAGGCCGCTTGCTTCCGATACATCTGGGGTGTGGCGAAAATGCAAATTCGCAAAAACATCGCTTTCGGTTTCCAAATCGAGGCCTCCCGGAAATGTTATTTTTCTTCATACGAATGTCGTCGAATTCACAAGAGTACCTCAGTTCGAGTACCGTGTACACTTGAAAAAGTTGTCGATCAGGATGCAATTTGGCGCGGGATAAGAGAGAGTATCCCGAAAGAATGCGACAGTAAGGAGCTTTTCATTTTTGCAAATAGGAAAATACGAATGTGGAATGTGTCGCCGAAACTTGTCGAACCCCCTCCCCTCGTAAAAATTCGATGAGTTTTCGCCCAGAGAAAAAATTCTATCGGCAACTGAGTCAACGTACACCCTTTAATTATTAAGGAACGGAAGCCTTCAAGTTATCTACGTTCCGAAGGGGGAAAAACACTCAACGAGAAAGGCAAAATACGGATATTGAAAAATGATTATTATTCATCCTTTTCTAAGGGTCAGTTGCACTGCCTCAGTAAAGTCCGACTTTTCGTTAAGTCAGACTTATGAAGCATGGTAAACAGACTCCCAAAGTCAGACTGCGCGAAAGTGTGACTTCCCGAGGCAATGCAATTGGCCCTAAATCTCGACGAAACGACACGAGAGAAAATGAGTATCTTTCGACGTCGTCCATTCCAAACGAGAAAATATGAAAAAAAAAATAGTTCGGTCCCGATGCCGAAACCACCTGGTGCATATGGTCCTTTAAGAATCCACGGACTCTCGTTGGGTAAGAAGAGCTCTGGAGCTTAAAGGTCCCTTCATCTCGCTCGAATGAGGCTTCGGCATTCGGGCATAAGTATTGGGATATGGCATCGAGCTCAACCACGGTTCACGCGATCGCATTCCTGTCCTACGACGTCCGCAGATTCCGTAGATTCTCTTTGCTCGGTCCGGCCCATTTCACGGTCGGGTATTCCCGATCCCACGAACAGAAAACATTCGCGACGATGGCCCGGGAACGGGAACGAAACCAACGAAACACGATGAAATAGGAAATTTTCTACGTGCCTGCGTGCGCGAGACGCCTCGCTTCCGGGTCGGGCCGGCCCCCAGCCTGTGCGGGGCCCTACAAAGGACCCGATCGAAATAAAAGCCATAGGATTCGGCAGGCATACGCGTCGCTTGGATCCGGAGAGGTTAAAATGCTCCCCGAGAAACCGGAAGGTTCGAAAACCATCGGTCCCATCGTCGACGTTCGCGATGCGTCGATGGTTTTAGGAAACTCCGTATATTTACGTGGGTGGTTCGCGCGAAACCTGGACCTTCCGTCCCACACGCGATAACAGTGCACGAAACTTTCAATCGAGATGGTGTCGATCGCGATCGAAAAGCTCTTTGCGGCGCCACAGTCTCGAAATCGAGTTCGAGTGTTACGTTCCACGTGGCGTGTGCTCGTATGGTGTGACCACGGGCGGTACGTCATCGTAGGCAATATGGCGTAAGATATGAAAGTTGCCGAAATTCACAGTAGACTCGTGGATCAGTATGGCGACACGGCCCTATCGGAAAATGAAGAGAAAATGAGTTGTGTTCACGATTCTATAAAGGGAAAGAGCAGTTCGGCGGTGTCGAGCGTTCTGGCGCGCCTCCTTCCGCGGCGACCTCACAGAAATCACATGTGCGAACGAGTGAATGGTGGCGGTCTGTCGCGCAACGGCGCGGAAAATTGCAGAGCCGTTTTCGATAAACATAGGGAGCACGGAAAATAAAAATCGTCGCGCGCTTAAGTTCCAGAAAGCGTCTTCCGGTGGGTGCTCGAGAACCCGATCGCGTTTGAGAATCGGGAACGCAAAACTTCTGTATGGGACCGAACGATCGATTCCAAAGTGAGAGGGGCGACTTCCAGGACAAGTTCAACCGAACTCCGTGCCGTTATCACTAATTCAGATCCTTCGAGAAACATAGGGTGGACAGCGCTCCGACAGCAATTACGAGAAGTCTGCATCGTCCTTCGGTGGCTTCAAGGTCGGTTCAAATGTTTATCTTACAGCTTTATGGACACTCGTAAAGCGATGAAGCAATTGCATAGATATGGAAGACAGATATTCCGAGAAATTGAGGAAATTTCGCCCATTCAACTAATCCTGCCTTATCGGAGCACAAGGCCGGATTTGGCGCAAATCACTCTCGTACCTGGATTTTGAAGGCTTCGATTGGCATATTTCGGATATATCTGAATCTTAAAGTGTGAATAATTATGAAGTTTAGAGGTTCAGTCCCATCTCGAATACCATCGTGTCAAAAATTGCATGCAGAACCCAAATATGGAAAATTATATTCAAATCAGCGAACCATGCTTAGCTGTAAAGTACTCACGATAGAAAAATCAATGCTGCCATAGATCAGAGGCGTTAAACTCGCAGCCCGCAAACGCTCTCAATGAGGCCGGCGTACACCAAGAGAGGAACGTTTCAAGTAGAGGTCGATTATTCATTCTACGATTTTACCTTTTGGCCCGCAGAGAGGTTCAATATTGGCGATGCGGCCCGCACCCTGAAACGAGTTCGACACCCCTGCCCTAGACCAACCGATTAATAGAAAATGAGCAGTACCTGTCTCAACTTAGTACTTCAGCCAGGAACCCGAGCAAGTAATGTTAATCGTAGAAATTATGGAACAAAATTAGGCTTATGTATTTTCCTCGACTAAGTGATGGTTCTTTGCCATCTACTAGAGGCCATCACTGGCTCTTGAAGTGCGTTTCAATTTACCCTATAAGAATCATGAAACATGTAGGGATGAATAGAGCAACTCCTCTAATTCAGAATTTTTAAGAGGCTCTCTCTAAATGGTGAAAATTTCAACGTGCACCAAGGTAATTGTTAGAAGAAACGTTTGGACCACAACCAGATCTCATAAATCCAAATAGTCATTTTCTGTGCAATGTATAAGCAGGATGATTCATAAGTTGCTCAACCATGCTGTCTATCATTGCAAGCAAGAGCAACGTTGAACCATCATTCTGATGGTTCAATGATGACTCATTGCATTGGGTTTGCTGCTTGGTGGCTAAGAGGTGCCACCAGTATTGAATCTGGATGATGCACAGTTTCAGCGCCTTCACACATGGAACAAGGAAT